CACAGCTTCCATTTCCTCAAAGATGTTCACCAACCCGCAGAACAACAACTGCCACTTTTTCCCCATGGCAGACCAGGAAAGCCTCCACTTCCATCTCCACCCTTGGTGTGGTGGCTCCCGGCCATCCCCTTAGCCTTCTCTGTATTTTAGTGTGTAGTGTTTGGGTTTCCATCTGACCCACTAAAAGTTCGTCACTTTTTGCGGGGGGATCTGAGAAGACACGCCTCCCCCCACCCCCCCCAATTTCGCCCCGTGAGCTTTCGCCCCGAGGCGGAGCTGGAGGCAGCGGAGGCGCAGCTGGCGGTGGCCCTGGACTCCACGGCGGCGGCGAGCGCGCGCTACGCGGAGGCGGTGAAGGTGTCCGGGCTGCAGGCGCGGTGTCTGGTCCCGAAGCGGGGAGCGTGGAGTGGGGCGGGGGGTGGGGGGCCGACGGGGAGTGGTGGGGGGAGTGGTGGGGGGAGTGGTGGGGGGAGTGGTGGGGGGAGTGGTGGGGGGAGTGGTGGGGGGAGTGGTGGGGGGAGTGGTGGGGGGAGTGGTGGGGGGAGTGGTGGGGGGAGTGGTGGGAGGGTGGTGGGGGAGGAGTGGTGGGGGGAGTGGGGGGGTGGTGGGGGGAGGGAGTGGGGAGGGGTGGAGTGGGGGGGGAGTGGGGGGAGTGTGGGTGGGGGGGGGGGGGGAGTGGGGGGTGGGGGAGTGGGGTGGGGGGGGGAGTGGGGTGGGGGGGGGAGTGGGGTGGGGGGGGAGTGGGGTGGGGGGGGGAGTGGGGTGGGGGGGGGAGTGGGGTGGGGGGGGGAGTGGGGGGTGGGGGCAATTTGTCATGAGTCGGTTTAGGACCAAACGCAAAACAGGTACCTTAAGTTAAGGCTTCTTGGGTTTTGTTGATTAGTGGGCCACATGCTTTGCATGGGACTTCCGAACCACGGTTCAAGGTGACAACGAGAGTGAGACAGCCTACGCCCTACTGGCGGTAAAGTAAAAGGGTTGTACCAGGGTCATCGAGGTACACAGGCACCATAGGTGCCTGATCGGGCGAAGACCTTGCAATGCATAAGGGAGGAGAGGGGATGATGAAATTGAATCTCTGGTGGCTTGCAGTAGAAATCATAGGTGTCCTTGTTAGATTGGTTTGGCTAGAAATAGATGGCACTCGTTTGGATGATAGGATCACTTATGGTAGTGCTTGGATTCTATTGTCCCTCTTTGATCAGAGGGGCAGAGGGTTGGAACGGCGCGAAAGGCATTGGACAGAACCGGGCGCCTTTGTTCATGTCCAAGGTGGTTTCAGGGGAAACCGTGCGAATGGTGCCAGACATGTTTGCATGATCTTCAGGTTTCTCCTGGATGAAAGGGAGTTGTGCCATTGGTGCGATTCAGACACCGAAGCAAGGCCGTTCTTCTCAGCAAGACCCCGAATCCACAGCCGGAAACTGCGCCAAGAGCAGATTCTGCCTGAAACGGTCGACCCATTTTTGTGCAAAAAGAGGCGTGGTCCTTTCGAACTGAACCTTAAGATCAGATCGGCACCTCTCCCCACGTTCTCTCAAGCGCCAACGTTCGCCATCCCGGACCGCAACTCTGGGTACCTGTCCGGCTCATATCTTCCTCGCTCCTCGCATGGCTCCCGGCGCCAAGCGCGCCAAGCGCGCCAACGCGCCAACGGAGCCCGCCCGCCATGCTGAACTCTTTCGAGCCTTTCGCCGGGGTCTCGCACCAAAGCCTGGGCCACAGTAAGCTTCCTTCCTTTCGGTGGGGTTCAGCGTTTTTTTCCTCGAGCTTTTGTCCAGCGGCTGGTTTGTCCTTCCAGGTCCCTTGGGGGAGGCACCCCAAGCAAAAATATGCGGCTATCCGCCTCAAGTCTTCACATTCGAGGTATCCTCCAACCGATTGGAACCCGTCCCAAACACCGCGTCTGTCGCCTGCTTTTTCGGGCAGGTGGCGCTGGACGAAACGGAGCAGCAGGAGCGCCCAAAGCTGATTCCTCTTAAGTTGGGTTCTACCTGGGGCTGTCCTTTTTTTAAGGAATCGGACCCCAAACATGTGATTTTGTTTCCTTTTGGTTTCCTGTAAAACTACCAAACGAAGGGAAAAGGAACCACACCCACCGGCAAAAGGCGCTCAAACGGGTTCGTAACACTCGAGACACCGAAAATCCGGGTTTCCGTTTGGTGTCCCTTCAACCCGCCCACCCCAAAAGAACACAACATGTCAACAAGACTCGCCAAAAGCAGGGTATCGATTTTGAGGCCTGGCCCCTTTCCGGGTTGCTTTCACAGGAACCAAGAGGACAACCCCACCATTTTGACAGAGCAGATGGCCATTTGTTTCTTTGGTGAACCATTTTCAGATTTTTTTGTTCACAGATACTCGAATTGTTTTTGGTGGGATGATGTGGAACCCACTAGAACTGGTCCGATCTTGGACCACCGCACAGATGTGGTCGCAGATGTCCCGAGGCATGGCATCCTTCCCTTTGATGTTCCTCCATGAGAATTTCAAGTGAGCCTGACCAGACATGGTTCCCTCAACTTGCTTTCTTAGCAGGGAATGCGAGGAATGACCCCTATAAACCATGCCCTATGGTTTTCCCTACAAAATCCCCAAGACCAGAAGTCATTCCCACCACCCGGCCTTGGAAAGTCATTCCCTAGCCATCGATCGCCTGCAAGTGCATCCAGCGCTTCGACTCGGCAGGAGTGGGCGCTGAGCGTGGAGGAGGCCGAGCACTTCGATGCCCAGCACAGCCACGACAAGTTTGAGAGCCACGGCACCAAAAATGCAGGGGCGCTGCCGGACAAGGCTGGGGGGGGGGGGCGTTTTTTTTTGTTTCCAAGGCCAAGGATTGCTTCAGCTTCTTGGGGTTCGGGTTTTGGGGCTCAAGGCCAAGGATTGACCCAAGTGCTTCAACTTCTAGGTTTATGGCTGTTGACCAAACTTACCCCGAACATCGCCAAGGGCCTTGGGGCTGAGCCACTCGACGGAGGGCTCATAAACGTTCCTCTTGGCTGCCTTTTGTGCATCTGCAACATGGTGCCGTATTGTAGCACATGCAGCTCTCCAAGTTGCTGTTGCGAATTTCACCATGAGGTAATTTGAGTGTAATTCAATGGAGCAAATAGAGCCACAGTCAAAACTAGCGCAGGCAGAAGTTTGCGTGCTTGTTTGTTGTATATTTGTATGTGTGTATATACCCATATATGAGGAGTTGCTCTTTCACCACAAGGGTGATTTTCCGCGTCTTCCTTTCACGGACCCACTCCATAGCTGTGTTTCCACAAGGATCCTTCTTTTCACACAATGGACACCCAGAGAATTCGGTTATTGTAAACGCCCGCTGGCCGTCTTGGGGCTTACCAAGAAAACGAGGACCAAAATCGCAGACTTTTCGTTTTGCCAAGAAAGTTTCATATAGGCGTCGCTTTGGTCTCCATAAACACTCTAGGCTGTGCCCCACAGTGTTTTCCAACCAGCGTTGCTTTCGCGAGCCAGTCCTTGTGCCTGGTTTTGGCAAGTTTCCTGGAAGAATCAAAATTGCTGGGTCGAATGCTTTGGCAGTTACTTCCCCTTAAACAGATATGCCAAGTGATGTCCGAATCCCACCGCCAGACAGTGGAACACCACTAGAGAACCACTAGCCAGCCACTTGAAGCACTGGAAAGCCACCAGAAAACCGCTTGTTGAACCTTTAAAACAAGTCACCCGAAATCCTCAATGATCAACCTCTAGAAAGCCACTGGAAAACCACATTGCCACTTCAGCTTCTGGAAAACTGCCGCAGCCCACCTCTGGAAGACTTGGGATCTACCTTTCGCTGTCCATCCAGGTGGTGTCCCGTGACCGATGGCTGGCCAAGCGCAACTCCGAGGATCGGGCAAGGGAGGCGCGGGGGCGAGGGGGGGTTTGTGGTTTTCTTGGGTCCTCCGTCCTCCGAACAAGAGCCGAGCGAGAGAATCGAATTTTCTGTACACCCAAGATGTGGGCCAAGTTCTGGCCGTTTGGTTGGAGGGCGTTTGGACCTTCCATTTTTGTTGGCCGCATTTGGAGAAAAACGGGAGGCCGTGCCGCTGTGAGGGGAGCGCTTTGCAGGCGCAGCGGAAGGCCCGGGGCGAGAACCGCGCGAGGGCCCGGGACGCCAAGCAGGAGGCGGCAAACCCCGTCTGAGGCGCAGGAAATTCGCGGGTCTGGGCGGACCGGAGCGACGGGGCCAGCTGGTCGGCTGGTCGGGTGGTCGGCGTGTCTTGCCTTGGTTCCTGTGCCCCCCGGCGGATCAAGATCCGAGGGGGCACGCGTGGCGCGTCTTTTTTGAGGTCTTAAAAAACCTCAGCTGATGAGTATTTCCGGCTTCGACATCCGGATAGTTCAGGCAGTTTCAAAGTAGGTGCGGCAGGTGGTTTCAAACATCATCTGGCAGCGCCTGCTATTTCGGTGGGTCCCTTTTCCGGGCTCCTATAGAACGGCTTTTGTACAGAGGCCTCAAGTAGGGAGCATTTCAAGGCTTCTCTTGGCGCATGCAGAAACTTCTCGAACTTTCCAAGGGCCCAAACCAGCCATCCCCCTATCAGCCCGGCATCATGTAGTGTCCAGCTTCTGTGTTTGGTTCAAGGGGTGCCAAGGTTTGATGGGTCCTGGAGGGTACGTGCAGCTATTGGTTTCTGGTGACTAGAGACACTGACCTCGCGAGTGGTAGAAATAAAGCAGCGCTTGTCGGCCGGGTTTTTGTGGACAGATCTGCGAGAGTGGTTTCTTGAAATATGTGCGGAATGAACTGTGGGAGGTCCCCAGCAATCGCACCTGCACATTTCCATCCGAGCCCGAACCGTATGCGTCGAAAAGGAGACCTTGGTTGAACACAGATGGACTCGAGTTTGGTATTCACCAGAAAGGCCCGAAGAGAAAAAAGAAAGAACAAAAAGAAAACAGAAAACAAAAACACGTGTTCTCCTAAAGGACTTTGTTCGGATCGCCGCAGGACGCGCGCGCATCCGAAGCAAATCCCGTTGCCCGAGGCTGCAGTACCTTCTGGCCACGGGCCGCGGCGCCCTGCCGGAGGATCCCCGAGGCGCGCGTCGGAGATGAGGTGCTGTTCTCTTCGGAGGCATCCTCGGGTTTCTGTGCACGGGGAGCAGAACCTGGTGGGTGTTTTTTTTGGTTTGGCCTTGAGACAAAAGCTGAGCCATGAACACACTTTTATCGCATGTTACTTTCAAGCAATGACACTACTTGTTTGCTGGCTTGATTCTGGGGGTAGAGAGGAGAAGGCCGCAAAGATCACAGACATGTTCGCCATTTGAAGATCGCCTTGTCTGTTGCTTGCGATGTGGTATCGTGTTTTGTGATTTGTAAGTGTGTTGCATCGGCGTTTGTATCCAGGGGGAGGATTGCGGCCATTTGGTTGGACGCCCCATTTGGTTTTGCGACTGGAGAGGTTCTGTGACACTGTGATGGACATGATCCAGTCCAAATTGTCAACACCCGGCTCGCGACAGTTTGCATCAGGTTGACGCAAAACAATATGAATCGGTATCACCAGAGAACTACAAGGCAAAGCAAGGTCAACGATAAGGTTTCTCACATGTCCTCAAAAGTGAACCATGCAAACAACCCACCTGCGGCGCGAGCAAGATCCATGCCAGTGTCTTTAACTGCCCAGGGCTCCTTAAAAGATGTCCATTTTGCAACCAGTTGAAACATGTTGCTTTTTCAACACCAGAATAAAGTTGGAAACCGCCATTGACAAGTTGCAATGTTCAGGTGTATTCACTGCATCCGGATCCCTGCTGCCAGTTTCTTCCGAAAGTCATAGTTGTCTGGCTAGGGCCCACGGAAGTAGAAGGCGGAAGTCGCTTGCCCGTCTTGTTCGTAATCATTTTCAGCCCCCGGGTTTCGGCGGCTTTTAGCGTTTTTTTCCCCCGCCCGAGAAATTGCTGGACCCGAAATGAAAGAAGACACACAGTGCTTGGGCTCCTTGTTCATTGCTTTGTTGTTGGTTGCGCTATGTGTCAGAAAAGGATTCACTTATGTAAAGTCAGAGTTTTTTTTGAGAAAGACGGCTCAGAAAGGATCGAATCGGCGCATGTCCAGGTCTGGATGTTCCAACTGCCGAGAGCCTTTTTTTGCCAGGGCAGGGGTTGGGGGGGGGGGGGGGGTAAGCGTCATGCGAAAGAGGCCTGGAGCTTTTCCGGGAGATGTTGGCCTGGCAGAAGGCGCAGAAGAGGCGACGCAATGGGGGGCGGGGTGTCTCAAATAGGCGAAAGGATGGCGGTTTCTGTTTGGCCCATCAGCGGCGTTGGGTTTGTTTCGTTCGGCAGGAGCGAAAATGCGGCTGGGGACCTCCTATTTTGATGTAAGGTTTAAAGGGACACCAAGAGGAAAGCCGAAGACCCCGTTGGGTACCCAACTCGGACGCACTTTGGGGTTGCAAGGGCTCTGAAAAAGATGAGTCATGGGGCGCCCCAAGACCTGGACGCCTAGTGTGCCGAACTCGACCACTGAACTGCCTAGTTTCATACTTAGCCAAAGCCCCTGTCGCAGGGTATGTTGGAAGGTTTGATTGAGACTTTACACTGTTCGAACTGCGGCTGGCCCTCGCAGGGCCTTGAAAAAACATGTTTTTTGCAAGCATCTATTGGCTTCCAGCGAAATCCTGGGCCTTGCCCGGGTTCCATGACCCTTAGCATGGCTCAAACTGTACAAACAACTTGGTTAGGAAATTGACCCCTACCTCAAAAAGGCAGGTATATTCTCCCTAATGCTATTGTGTTGCCGATCCGGGGGTGAAACGTTCCGAGCTCGTAGGTCCTTTGCTCAGAATCCACTTCTTGTTTGTTCTATTTGACATCGAGGGTTTGCAAAAAAAACAACAACCCTCGTTGTCAAAAAACAAAATGCGACTTCGAGGGTTTGATTCTATTTTTTTATTTGAATCGAAAAACAACCACCTCCCTTTTGAGAAATTGTCTGAGCCTCCGAAAGGAGGGCGCAAGCGGGTCCAAGCGGGGACCCGGCTGGGGTAAGGGCTTTGCAGTGTTGGTTGCAGGCATCACCGAATTTGGTCCAATATTTCAAGGCAATCATGGGGAGCCCTTTGCAAGGAAAACCAGAGGGGGCCTCCTGGCAGCCTAGTAGTTTGCAAGGGGCCAGATCTGTAGAGCCCCTTCGGACCCTTTCTTCCCAGATTTCCAGTACCCGCAAAGCATCAAAAAGAGCGGCTCTTGTTGCTTGCCCTTGTCTTTACCCCTTAACCAACCAACCATCCAGACCAATTAGAGGTTCTGCACGGTGCTCCAACCACGGTCCCCGTGGTTGACTGGACACACCTCGGTGGCTTGTGGATAGAGGCGGTCCCTGGGGCCGCTGGCGGTGGCGGCCTTGCGACAGCCCTCCAGTGGACGGGAGGCAAGCGAACGCTGGTTCGACCGGAGGGCCCCCCCCCCCCGGTTGGTTAGTTGATATATATATATATATGTACAGGTATATGTATGTATGTGTGTATATATCTATATCTATGTATATGTATATGTACACGTATTTTTGTATATATAGGTATGTATGTAGATATGTAGATATGTAGATATGTAGATACGTCTATGTGTGTATATGCATTACAGTTTAGAGAACCCGTTGATCCCGCACAGTTCTGTCTCGATCAGGGTTGCTGAGCCACTGGGTTTCCCCTCAGAAGCCCCCAAAGCACACCCTCATGCAGATCCCTGATACGCGCAGTGCTTGGGCTCAGCGAGCACTCATATTCTTTTTGTGGATTTAGCTCAGTTTTGAGCTGTCACTTTCGGCTATACAAACGACGGGATTAGGTGGAACCATTGATGGAGCTACTCTCCAGAAGATCACATGGAACGAACAGTTATCCCGTTTCTTGCCAGTCTCTTGGGGAAAGGATCGATATGAGTTTCAGGGGACTCAAATTGCCGGCAAAAAGAAAATCACATCCGGTGACTCAAATTGCCCCAATCAAATCGACCAGTGTTGTGATTAGTATCCCTGTGATCATCCACGAGGAGGGCACCGAAAGAGAAAACCAAGGACCCGAACGGCGTGTTTGAAGCCATTCCCTGTAGCCGAAAGCAGCTTGTAACCAGTGTCCAGTGTTCAAAGCCAGGTTCGCAGCTTGAAACTGATGTCCATCAATTTTCCCAGAACAATACATCTAGCTGCGACATGTGTCAAAACACGACAGCTTCTGCTAAAGCTGAGTTCTGGCATGCCAGCCCCACATACTGGTTTGAAGCCAGGTATGGAAGAACATGGATTTGTGACTGGGGCCTGAAGCGAGATGGCGAAGGCATTTAGCGTCGAGAAACGCGGGGATGGATGTTTTATTCCCAGGGGTACCCGGCCAGGAGGTCCGTCCAAGTGATCATTCGTCATGCCTCCCCCGTTGAATACAACTCTTGTGGAAAAGGGGCGGCAAAAAGCGCCCGTCTTGGTTAAGAGGAAAAGGCATGGGCACCTAAACGCCGGCTGTTTGTGTTGGCTCGAGTTCCCCAGATCATCATCTTGGGCACACCGCACAACGTGCCCGGCGTGGCACGGCGGCTCAGAGCTGGGCGACTGTAGGAGCCACTCCTCAGCCGACGTTTTGGTGGTATTTTTGTTTTTTTTCTCCCTCCAACTAAAGAAAGCCAGGCATTCGAGCCGTTGATGGGCCAAGCGGTTCAAACTTTAGGTGATGTCTTTTCCGAAGTCTCACGGATTTCATGTCCATGGCCATGGGGCCATAGGGGGGGGGTCCTGATTCTTTTGCGACACCGAATCTTTCTGGCAAAACTTGTTTCGGGAGGCGCAACGTTGCCTTCAGGGTGCCGCCTTGGTCTCAGTTTGGGCTCGGTTTGGTGAGAAGTAGTCTCCCTTGATCGGTGAAAGTAAGTGAAAGGACGTGACCCGCAGGGAGTCTTTGCCATTTGTTCGAGTCCTTTGGGGCGAGCGATCAGAGATGGTCACTCTGTGCAAATTTGCACGCTCGCCTCAGCGTGTACGGTCCAAGATGCCAACCGACCAGGGGATCAGTACAGATCGGTCGCCAGTCAACAGGAATTGTTGCTATGCATCCTAATTCTTCAGACCATGACCATGACCTCATCTGCCACATGTTGTTTCAAACCAAGCTCCATTCCGTCAACCTCGTTCAGTCTGGCCACAGAATGCGGAGGTCTTGGTTGCTTGGTTGCTTGCTTGTTTGCTTGCTTGCTTGCTTGCCTGCCTGCCTGCCTGCTTGCCTTGCTTGCCTTGCTTGGCTTGGTCGCTTGGTTGCTTGCTTGCTTGGTTGCTTGCCTGCCTGCCTGCTTGCCTTGCTTGGTTGGTTGGTTGGTTGCTTGCTTGCTTGGTTGGTTGGTTGCTTGCCTGCCTGCCTGCTTGCCTTGCTTGTCTTGGTTGCTTGGTTGCTTGCTTGCTTGCTTGGTTGCTTGGTTGCTTGGTTGGTTGCTTGGTTGCTTGCTTGCTTGGTTGCTTGCTTGCTTGCTTGCCTGCCTGCCTGCCTGCTTGCCTTGCTTGTTTGCTTGGTTGCTTGCTTGCTTGGTTGGTTGGTTGGTTGGTTGGTTGGTTGGTTGTGCGAAAGTACACCATGCATTCCCACTTGGATGTAATTCATACTGATTACCATTGCATGGCTCAAGATGACAAAGGTGCATTTGCTGCCTTGGTTGATTAGCAGAGATTAGTCTCTGATTTTCCCATGGTAGCGGAGCTCGAAGATTCAGGAGACCTTAGGGAAACCTGATTCTGAGAGCTGCCATGGCACTCGGACAAGATGAGGATTTTGCAGGAAAGCTAAGACTTCCCATGCCAGGGAAATTCACTGGCAAGCCAGAGGACTGGGAAGATTGGAGCTGGGATTTCAGGACATATTTGAGCATGTTCCTGCCAGATTCAACAACGATTATGGACCGCATTGAGGCCAACGCAGACACACCCATTGAGGACGCGCATTTGAATGTAGCGGGTAACCAGGATGCCACAGACAGAAGGATTCAGAATTCCCGAAGGCTGCATTATTTGTTAGCAAATTTGTGCAGTGATTCAGCAAGGCTGGTAGTCAGGCAGAACATTGGCTGCAATGGTTATGAAACCTGGAGGAGATTGTATTCCAAATTTGCATTGCCGGACGCAACACGGCACATGAGTTTACTTAGCCAGATTTTGGAATTCAAGTTTCACTCCAATACATTTGAACAAGATTTCAACACCTGGGAGACCATTAAGGCCAGATATGAATCTCAAACCGGCCAAGCCATTCCTGATAGCATTCTGGTGGCTACCCTCTTGAACAAGACAACAGGCCCATTGCAACAGCATTTGAGGCTCAATGCTTCGGCATTGTTGACCTATGAACAAACACGAAACGTGATTGTGCAGTACCACCATTCCAGGCACATTCTTAGGAACATGCCGGGGAATGACAACCAAGGACCAGCACCCATGGACATTGGGGCGCTGAAAGGATTCAAAGGAAAAGGCAAAGGCAAAGGATTCAAAGGATTCAAAGGAGCCAAAGGACCACATTGGTCATACAACAAAGGAGCATTCAGCAAAGGAAAAGGAAAAGGAAAGGATTTCAAAGGCAAAGGCAAAGGAAAGGACCCAAAAGGAAAAGGAAAGGATTCCAAAGGAAAAGGAAAAGGGTCGATTGCAACCTGCTGGATTTGCGGCTCTCGCGGCCACATTTCCAGAACATGTCCGCAGAGAGCTGTGAGCGGAGTGATTGAGGAAGATTGGAATGAAGAATGGTCCGAAGAGCCCTGGCCTGATTCGTCGTGGCCTGATGGCTCATGGGACATTGCTGGATTGAGTTGGGATGAAGGAGAAGATTGGTCCTGGGATTCGTCTTGGGGATCATGGGATTCTGTGAACTCTTGGGACCACCCTTGGGATTGGTTTCAGGACAGTCAGATTCCAGAGCCTCCTGCTGGATGCGATTCTGCCGCGTTTTCATCGGCAGGACCACCCCCAGCAGGAGATTCACAGCAAGGAACCATTGGAGCAGTGACACAGGTGCCGCCGGGATTGAGTCCAAACATTGGCTCAACTCCCATTCGGCCAAAGGCCAAGCCAAAGGCCTCATCATTTTTGATTGCTGCACTTGTCATGAATTCGGTCACCTCAGGATCATCCTTTCAGATTCCTGCCACTCGTGGCAGTCCGTCTGAGGGTGAAGGTGAAAGTTGGATGACATTTGGAGAGCATGAAAGATTGTTTAAGTCGATGTATTGCTTGGACACTGGATTGGATAGCATGCCATGTTTGAGTGCCGGATTGATTGCCCCTGTTCCCGGACAAGACTTGTTAGATTGGTATGATGAACCAACCCCAGTGAAGGATTCTTTTCATTTCGTGACCACCTTGAAGGACTGCGGCTTGGATCACTTGAATTCGAAGTTTGTTGACACATTCTTGCATGAACAGTTGATTTCAGCAGTCGAGGATTCCACCCCGTGGATTCTATTTGATTCAGGAGCATCTGCCCATTGCTGTCCGCCAGACTTTGGTGAACAATGGCCATTGCTTCCATTAAATGGAAATGGCCCACCATTAAAGAGTGTCACAGGACAGCCATTGAACATGTATGGGAGAAGATTGGTTGGCTTGAACTTGGATGGACAAGACTGCTTCATGAATTTTTATGTTTGTGACGTGCCTTATCCGATTGTGTCGGTTGCACGATTGCTGCTGCAGGGATTCCGCGTAGCATTGGATGGACCAGACTCATTGGGATTGTTTATGCCCAATGGTAAGGTAGTGAGTATTCACCGAAAAGGCTCACTGCTTTTCCTAGGTCCGAACATTCTTCCATTTGACAAACCCCGATTTGAAGAAGTGTGTCAAGAGTTTCATTCCAAGTTTGGTTCAGATTCTTCAGGGACCATAGCACCCACATTTAAGCCCACCATTTACCACAACGACAGTTGGGAACTTGATCCGCAACGCGCTGTGCTGATTCGACATCACAAGCGCGCAAGGCGTGCGTTATTCACGCCAGGTGGCACCAAGGACAGGCCCATTCCTGTGGAAGATGTGGCGTCCAGACGCACAACTTACGTCCGATTCGAAGATGGACGTGAGGAGACCATCGCCGACAATTGGCGGACGATAGATTCTCCGCAACGGGCGTTGGATCAGTACTGGATGGGAAGGACAGAATTCCCGTTGCAATCCTTGCCGACGGCAAGACGATTGACGGGGAAGCAATCCACAATTGCAAGACCTCCCATTCAGGAAGCGTCAGTGCCAGCAAAGAAACCTCATTTGAAAGCGCAACCGTCTGCTGACATTGGCCAGGATGATTATTCCCGGTCAGTGAAGGAGCTGACGACGGGAGAATTGGAAGAAGCAAAGGAAATTGTGGAACGGCGATTGTGCATGAGTGACCCGGAGACAGGAGGACCATTCGGACATGATGAATGGTACCTCACACCCAAGTTTGACATTAGGATACACCATGAGTGGAGGAATTGTCTGTATGTGCCAGATGAGACCGATTCGGCCGCTCCCTCCAAGGAATTGCTGGGGAACGAGAGGCACACATTGGCTGTGTTCCTCAACGGGAGACTCCAGTGGATTCACGACCACTGGGCTGACCCAGAGGCTGCTGTTACGGAATTTCCTGAGCCATTCAAAGGCGCGACGATTTTTCGTCGGCAGTCTCAGCAATTCTTGGAAGAGAGCAACCCGGACATTCCGGAAATGTCGGCTCAACGGCCAAAGGGATTGTACGTTCCCAAACAGCCGACGGACGATGAGATTCGTGAACATGAGTTGACTCATCTGCCATTCAGATCATGGTGTGAGATTTGCGTCAGGTCGAAGAGCAAGCAAAACCAGAGTCGTGCCATTTCGGTGCGGCAACCTGTGATTCAGGTGGATTACGCCTTTATGGGTGATTCACAAAGTGACACACAGGTGACATTGCTCACGGCCACTGATGTACTGAGTGGAATGGGATTGGCGTGCGTTGTTCCGTCCAAAGGACGCATTGTGTATGCGCAAGCAGAGTTGAGGAAATTCGTGTTGGAGATTGGAAGGACATTTGGGATTGTTCAGTGCGACCCTGAAGCTTCATTAAAAGCCTTGGTCGAGGCAGTCACGGGTGACATTGGTGGATTGTCATACCGTGAAGCTCCCACTGGCTGGAAGCAAGCTCAGGGATCCATTTCCAACATGCAAGCAACATTGTATGCTCAGATTCGTGCTTTGAAGCTTGACATTCAACATAGGTATGGCATGTCGGTTAGCGTGCATTCGCCATTGTTTCCTTGGATTGTTAAGCACTCCATGTGGCTTCTAAACAGGTTTCTTCATCGGTCTGATGGATTCACTCCATTTGAACGACGATGGGGAAAGAAGTATGGAGGTGCATTGTGTCGAATTGCCGAGTCTGTGCAGTTCCGATTGCCTGCGCCTAAGTCTGAGCCATCGTGGCATTCAGGCATTTGGCTTGGACGTGACACCACATCCGACCAGCATTTTGTGGCGGATTCCAATGCTGTGTACAAGGTGCGAGGCATTCGGAGACTTCAGCCGGGATCACAAGTCAAGCGAGATTTGATGCAAGGGTTGCGTGCATTGCCATGGGATCCAAAAGGATCCAAGGTCGAAACGGATTCGTTCATCCTTCCGGGTGATTCTGCTGTGCTCCAGAAAGGTGAACCCCAGCCACCTTTGGGGATTCCACCAACTGACGAGCAAACAGAGGAGCCAGATCACGATGGAACTGGTGAGGATTCGTCAGCCCAGTTGTCCCAAGGATTGACGCGAGGTCATGAGGACATTGACAGGGAACCTGGAGAGCATTCGGAGTCTCCAACCAATAGGCGCAGATTGGCAGAGGCAAGAGGCATTAAGAGAACCAGTGAGCAGGCAGAGATTCCTGAAGCGGATTCTACTGTAAGCTACATTTCTGCCATTCTGCCATGCGAGTTTGGTTGCACATTGGTTGAAGATTGTAGGATTGCCACAGTCACCACGCGTGAGTCATTGGACTTGCCCATTCATGTAAACCAGGATGAAGAAGAATTAGGGAACATGAAGAAATTTGCCAATCCGATTCTGTGGGGAGAGTCTGAATTCCCCAGAGATTTGGAAGAGGCAGGAATGAACAAGGAAATGAATTCCATGAAGGACTTTGATTCGTATGTAGAAGAGAAAACCGAGGATTTGACGCAGGAAGAAGTTGATTCAGCAATTTCAATGAAGTGGGTTAAGTCTTGGAAAGGAGCAGAAGTGAAGTGTAGATTGGTAGCCCGTGGCTTTGACCAATACATTGAAGATAAGGATGACACATTCGCTTCTACCCCAAGCTTGTCCACATTGAAGTTGTTGATTGCGTTGTCCATTGCCATGAATTTGGATGTTGTGATTGCAGACGTGTCCACCGCATTCTTGCATGCGACGTTGTGGCAGAAGATTTTTGTCATTCCTCCAAAGGAGTACTACCCTCAAGGGGGCGTACTTTGGCGATTGAAGAAGGCATTGTATGGCCTGAAAGGTTCGCCAAAGGCATGGCAACAGCATTTAGCCAAGACCATGCTTGACGCGGGATTTGAGCGTTTGAAGTCAGATCCGAATTTGTACCGACACAAGACCAAGAAATTGTGGGCATTGGTCTATGTCGATGATTTGATGTTTGTAGGTGAGCGACGTGACATTGATGAGGTGATGCAAGATTTGAAGAAGGTGCTTCTGATTCGGCAGACAGGTGAATTGAGTGAAGGTAAGACAGTCTCCTTCTTGGGACGTCAGATTCGCCGAACATCAGATTCCATGGAATTGTTCATGTCTCCTGATTACATTGACCGCATGCTGGATTCCTATGGCATGACCAAGAGCAAGCCGGCTCAGACGCCAGGAGGAGATTCATTGCGGAAGTTGCTTGACAACGAATTGTTGAATTCGCAAGAGCATAAATTGTATAGGAGATTGGTTGGACAATTGTTGTGGCTTGCAGCATTGCGTGTTGACATCATGTATGCTGTTAAGGAGTTGTCACGAGGATTGGTTGCTCCCACTGAGGTGCACAAGATTAAGTTGAAGACATTGTTGAGGTACCTGAGTGGAACCAAGGATTATGTCCATGTTATGAGACCTGATTTCCGGATTGGAAGACAGGTGAAATCATTGGACATAAAGGTCTATGTGGACAGCGATTGGGCAGGTTGCACCGATTCCAGGAGGTCCACATCAGGAGTAGCATTGAACATTCTCGGCATCAACATTTCAGCACACAGCAGAACACAGGCCACCATTGCCTTGTCAAGTGGGGAAGCCGAACTTTATGCTATTGGAAGTGGTGCGGCCGAGGCCCTATTCATTAAATCTTTGATTCTGGAAACCCTTGTGGCTCCCAAGGTGAACATCATTCTGTTTACCGATTCAACTGCAGGCAAGAGCATGGCTGTCAGATTTGGGGCATCCCGGAAAACCAAACATGTCCAATTGCGATTTCTGTTTGTCCAGGAGCTGGTTTCCTCTGGGACCCTGGTGATTAAGAAGATTCCGGGAACCCTCAACCCATCTGACATTTTAACCAAGTATGTTGCCAAGGCAATTTTGCAGAGGCATAACATCACATTAGGGATTTGCCCTTCAGGTAGTAGATAGTCAACATGATTCTGTTTCACTTAGTCAGTAGTCAAGACATTTTGCCACGAGTGAATTCGAAGCCATTTCATGCATGACTGCAACATTTGTTTTGCTCAACATTCTGACTGACATTTCGGTGTGCATCTACTTCGACCGATGCGATGGACAGCCCGCATTCCGGAATTTGACGCGACAGTATTTCCACCGGATTCTCGCAAGAGATTTGAAGATGGAGCGCACGAATTTTTCGGAATACAAGGCATTCATTACGGCCACGATGTTGTGGCAGATTCTATTCAGCGGCCAGCAACAGGAACAATTTGGGTTCCAGGATTTTATTTTCATGAACCGATTCGCGGACGATGCCTGGAGTGCGCAGATTCTGATCAGGATCATTCCAAACATTGCGGCTGGGAGTATGTCCTATACTCCATTTGAGAGGCATTTGTGGCTACAATTCCCACCAAGGGTGGAGAGATTGATTCCATTCAACCCCAATTGGAATTTGCAACATTTGAACTTTTGCATGTTGCCATTCATGCTGTATTTCACCATGCCTTCAGCAATGTGGAACCATTTGAAGAGGATTTTTGAGGGCCGTGCCAGTAACATTCCTGAGGCTATGAAGGGAACATTTGCAATTCTTGCTTCACATTGTTTCTGGAACAGTCAGTTTACTGGATTCCATTTGAGCCCGCGTTCGTCTTTGCTATTCTTTCTGTATTCATTCAGCTATGAGCGATCATTTGCACCAGAGGGTGATGCAAAGAACAGATTGATTCAGTATTTGGCGGACACACCAGTGGTGATTGGATTCAGGCCACATTCGCAGCGATTTCTTGATTTCATGAGGCATTCATTTACTCACGTATTTGTGAGGTCTCACATTGACCCCATCATTCACTTCAAGGATTACATTTGGGATTCAAGAGACAGCTTGGCGATGCAGGAGATTTGCTCCATGGCCGGATTCAATATCAAGGCCCAGATTGGGGAATTGATGCTCGCTGCCAATTCATTGCAGCAAAGCAATTCCCATTGGTACCGGGATTACCACATGTTCATTCCCAAGACCTGGAAGACTTCATTGGACAAATTCATGGGCGACTACCAGGAGATTCCCAAGTCACTGGTAGATTCATATTACAGAGCGAAGCTGTGATTCAGCATTGGTGGAGCTGGGATTTCGATTCTGGCCAGGCACCGATTTGGATGCATTTATTCCACACTGGATTTGCATTGAGATTCTATGTTCATTGGATATCGCGATTTTGCCTGGTTCGATTTGCCACTTCATTTGTGATTCAGTTTTCGGCATTTGTGTGGAGGTACAGTTACAACATTACTGTAGATGACAGTTTACTTTTGGTTTGGATTCATCTATGACACCAATACATTGAGAGGACGTTTTCTGGTGATTCTGGAGGCGATACTCTTGGAACACATTCTGTCTGTGATTCGAGTCCACAATACATTCAACCACTTGTCCTTGTGCATTTCCCAGCATTGCAATTCTTTTGGTGATGATTAGGTCACCCGTTTTGCATAGACATTTTGCAGAGAGAAAAGATTTCAAGGCAGCTTGGCATTCTTTGGAATGCATTTGTGCTAGTGGAGTGTGGATTAATTCCACATTTTCCATTAATCCAAGGGGGCGTGCGAAAGTACACCATGCATTCCCACTTGGATGTAATTCATACTGATTACCATTGCATGGCTCAAGATGACAAAGGTGCATTTGCTGCCTTGGTTGATTAGCAGAGATTAGTCTCTGATTTTCCCAGGTTGGTTGCCTGCCTGCCTGCCTGCCTGCCTGCCTGCCTGCCTGCCTGCCTGCTTGCCTTGCTTGTTTGCTTGGTTGCTTGCTTGGCTGGTTTGTTTGGGGATCAAATGGTTTTGTGTTTTGGGGGTTGCTTGCCAATTTGAGCCACTTTCGCAGTTTCTTGAGGTTGCTTCAGGGAAGGGTTTTGCCTGCTTAGAAGTTATGAGTGACAGAATCGGTGTGGGCTTCAGTGTGACTTCTTGAGAACTTTATGTCGGTCGAGGGCGTTTTTGCACCAAGCTTGGTGCTAATTTTGCAGTTGCCGAAAACTATCCAAAGCAGACCCCAAAGCAACCCTTTCATGGCCCCAAACCACCTGCAAAACCGCTCGTAACCCACCTGAAGCCCACACGAAGTTGCACTGAACCAACTCTAGTCCAAGTCCCGCTCTCACTCTACTCCAAACCTGCCAGAAGCCTGCCCTGAAAACAGCGAAAGTCGTCCTAAGCTGGTGAAGTAAAGACCTTCCCTAGGGCCTAGAAGCAAACAGCCCCCTCACCAGGGGTTGGGCAAATTGCCAGTGAAGGTCTCTCTGAAGACACACCCGTTCGAGCTTCGACCCTTTTCAAAAAAAACGCCTTGGGAAAAGGGGGGTGCAAGCCGGATCAACCTTCCTAACATGAGGGCCTTGGAGGGTCCCAAATTGGACTTGTTTGAGGTTGTTTGACCCCTGTCTGCCCTTCTGCTGTCAGCACTTTGTGGGCCTTGGTTTGATTTGGATGAAGGTGGTCTTTCGGTTTCCCTCAACCATCCCAATCCTATTTGGGCATGTCTTTGTTTCGGACCCCTCAAAATGGTGGTTTGTCATTTTTGTTAATATTTCCACCTCAAAAACTACAAGAAAGGATCAAGATTATGGTTTTCCTTCTTAAGAAAAGACACGGCCGTTTTGTGAGCCCGAGCCATGTGGCCCTTGGTTTCCACCTCAGGACTCCGCGCAGAACCCCGTGCCCCGAGCGGTGGCCAGGGCCGTGGCCGGGCTGAAGCCAGGCGGGGAAAACTCGGATGGACCGGTCCCAGGGTGTGGCGGGTCTCTCTACCGTCTAACCGGTGGTAAATAGTTTTCCAAATTGAAGACGCACTTAGGCGCGGAGCAAACAACTCGACTCTCTCTAACGGTTTCTCAAGGCGTCTCTTGACTTGATGGCTATTTGGGAACGGATCTTTGGACCAATGGGCCCACAAGTTAAACAACTTTTGGCCGAGGGGTCGACAGCAATTAAGTTTGGGCTTGTGGATTTACGTTTCCGAGCCATGTCCCTTTCAAGGGAGCCTCCATGTTGGCGATGGTGCTGATGGACACCACCAGCAAATTAATCGGTTTCTTTCGGCTTCCCTTATCCCTTGAACAGGTATTCAAAAGGAGTCAGAAGGGCAGCGATTCGAGGATGTGCAAAGCTGTGAGACTCAAAACTCGCTGTGCCCTTGGAGCAGTGTTTTTCCTTTGTTGGGCCAGAATGCGAAGATGACCGGTCCGCATTAAGACTTTGTGAGTTAGTGCCGCATGACGATGTCAGAGAGAGAGAGAGAGAGAGAGCGAGCGAGAGAGCGAACGTGAGTGTGTGTGTGTGTGATGTGTGTTTGAGTGTGTGTGTGTGTGTGTGTGTGTGTGGTGAGTGAGTGTGGTGAGTGAGTGAGTGCCCTGTCGTCTCGTGTCATGTCGTGTGGTGTGGTGTGGTGTCGTGTAGTGTAGTGTAGGTGAATTGAGTGAGGGAATGTAGTGTAGTGTAGCGTAGTGTAGCGTAGCGTAGCGTAATGTAGCGTAGAGTAGTGTAGTGTAGTACACTGTAGTGTAGTACACTGTAGTGTAGTACACTGTAGTGTAGTTGAGTGAGTGAGGGAGTGAGAGGGTGAGTGGGTGAGTGAATGGGTGAGTGCGTGGGTGGGTAGCTTGGGTGAGTGCGCAAGTGGGTGGGTGAGTGATTGAGTGCGGGAGTGAGTGAGTGAGTGAGTGAGTGAGTGAGTGAGTGAGTGAGTGAGTGAGTGAGTGAGTGAGTGAGTGAGTGAGTGAGTGAGTGAGTGAGTGAGTGAGTGAGTGAGTGAGTGAGTGAGTGAGTGAGTGAGTGGGTGGGTGGGTGGGTGGGTGGGTGGGTGGGTGGGTGGGTGGGTGGGTGGGTGGGTGGGTGGTTGGGTGGGTGGGTGGGTGAGTGAGCGAATCGGGATCTGCGATCCTCGACACTGGGAGGCTGCCTTGCAGAACACATAACCTTCCCGCGCTCGAAAAACAACAGCTGAACTGCCGTGAGAGTTTCTCCTTGCAAGGAGCGGGGTTCACTCACTCGCTGGGGCCATTCCTGGTTCTCAGATTTTGGGAATTCACGAGGTGGGTTAGGGAAGGATTTGTGTTCTTGCAAGACTACCTTGGAGAAGACACGTCCCAAAAGTGATTCCAGGTTCTTCGAGGGAATCCTGCGATGACGTGGCCCTTATGGAAGACGTTCCATGGATCTCTTGCGAACTAAATACCATTGAGATCGCGAATTAGAATCAATCGCTTTTACCCGGACGATCTTACCGCCTGGCAGAAACGTGGAGTTTGATTCTGGAGTGCTGCTGTGACATGTCTGTTCTTTGAAAGAAAGGCCCAGTATGCCCATTCCGCATAACATATTGGTGTGACAGTTTTGCATTGCGTGATGCCGTGGCAATGAGCCAATTTAGTGAACCATATGTGTGCGTGTTTGCATGTTTGCTTTCTCGTTCCGTAGTTCTTCGCTTTTGCGCCCGCATGTTCACTTACGCACGAAATCGTGCCTGCACATACTGCGTTGTGTTTTGTTTGTCGTCCTTTGCTTCTGATTGGTTTTACTTTAGGAGACCTGCTTGCTTGCCCATGTCAGCCAGAAGTAATGAATGTCGAAGCCCTAGGCTGACCAGACATCACATATAGCGTATCATATACCCGCTTAAGAGGATCCCCGTGCTCAAAACAGCGGAACCCCGCCCCATTTTATGGGTGGTTTCCCATGGAAATCTCTCTCCTTGCGCTTGTGCAACATGAGGCCTAGTAGCCGTGGAGCTCGACGAGGCTCCGAGCCATTTCCCCTTGAAGGGAACCTCCAACAGCGGCGATCGTTTCAATAGAAAGCGCTGGTGAATTGATCAACTCTTGAAGGGAAATGGAGTGACCCCCTGTAGAAGTTTCTGCCCCGAAACCAGCGGTCAGCAAATTGATGAAGCAGTGAATTGATTTGAACTGTTAAACCGCGACGCTCGATTCCCCGTATTCGCGCTTGAGCCTGCAAGAAGTTCAATATGGCGACATGGCCATTCACATTGCCGGAATACGGAAGGTTTACTAACTCATCCAACTCCCACGTCTGTTTGGTTTGCCAGCTGAAGAATTGTGGCTTTCCGCCACTTGCCGCTACTTATGTCCTGCCGGCCAAAAAAATGAGAAAGCGTGACATCTCTTGGTTGGTGCGATGGCTTGTATTGTGACATTTGCTGGTGTGGCTTTTTGTTTGTCGGTGTGGCGCATGGGTGAACGACCACTTCTTCCCAACTTGAGGTATGATGCCCTGATGTTGGTGGGAAGTTGGCTAGTTTCCTGCACTTGGGGCAAGTGTTTTCAGTGTTCTTGTGGTTAATCCGGTGGCGAGCTCGTTACACCATGCCCCAAGCGCCCATCCTGGAATTGGGCTGCTGGAGTCCTGGGAAACTTGAGGTTGGGACTTGTGTGGCGATGGGTCAAAAGCCAAATCGTACCCCCAGTGAACATCCGATTCAATCCCCACTATAGACCCAAATGGGTGGTGAATTCACCTACCAACCAAAATGGGATCCCATTGGTTTTGACCCACAGCCATGTGTGTTGCTTCTTTGGAACGGTTCAAACACCTAACTTCCGTTTTCGTTTCGCGCGACGTTTGTTATCATTTCCTCTTGGTTTTGAAGGGAATCGATCACTGGCAATGGCAATGTGTCCCTTCTTTCTAAGAGGCTTAAGCAAATGAAGGTTGACATGGCCATGGCGATTGCAATCTTCATGAGTTTCCAAGTTCCGACCTCGGAGACGTCCTGATTTGGACCGCAAAACACCTCCCCCCACACACTGGACACATTCCCCTCGGTGTTTCTCAAACTGGCAAACTGGTCCCCAAAAATTGCGGGCCTTTTGATCTCCCTTTAAAGAGATACCCAAAGGCCACCATGTCCACCATGTCCAGAAACTTCCACTTGGCCGCGAGCACACAGAGAGTCCCTTCACGCGCCCAGCGCATCAGCGGGCCCTCTGCAATGGGTTGCTCTACTCAGCGTAGGGCGAGCTAGGTCCAGCGTGCCTTGTCCTTTGAGTTTCATGCGAGGGGTTCTGCTTGCTGGGAAGTGTGAGGCTCAGTTAAACGTTCGGCCTTGATCGCAGAAGGCTCTTGAGTCCTCTTAGACCCTTACAACCTTGGCTTTCCTGGCTCATCCTCACCCTGAATCCCTTCAAAACCAAAGGAAGTCTGTAAAAATATCGGCATGCAAGGGGTTGAATCGCAAGGAGTCGAATAGCACAACCCTCGACCCCACTCCACGTCGGAACTGCCCCGCCGCTCAGCCGAAAGGATCGGGGCCTGCGGTTCCTGGAGAAGCTCCCGGCGAAAGGCGCGGGTGTCGCCAAGACTGGCTGAGGGAACCGGTGGGTTCCTTGCAAAACGTGCTCCAAACACGCGGCCGAAAAAAGACGCCCAAATGGGGGGGGAGGGGGGGTGGTTTTGCGAAGTCTAGTACTGTTGGGCAAACTCCACGGGTGCCAGTTGGGATTGGTGATTTCTCAACCAGGTTTCACAAAAACAGAATTCATGCGTTTGCATAGTGTGAACTTCTAAGCGCCAATCCAAAGACCGATGCTCCTTTGAGGGTAGGTCCAAGTCACAGATGTCCCTGCTACCAGTTCCCGCTTTAGGTCAACAGAAGCCATGGTGGAAGTGAGAGGTACACACACACACACACACAAACCAAAGGGTTTTATGCCTCGCACTGCGAGATTTCGACGAGGACCCTTCACACCAGGCTTGAGCAATGACCCTGCTATGGCTGTCCACAATTTTGGGCTTCTGCCTCAGTGCGTTCACCGGTGAAGGGAACGTTTTCTCAACCCCCGATGCGGTGCACTGGGTCCACACTTCAGATTTTGAGCTGGTTTTTAGGGTACAGACGCGGCATGTGCCAAACTGGGCCAAAAGTTAGCGTCCCCGTAATTTGTGATTTGGACCGGGGGTTTCCATTTACCCTCAACCAAAACTTCAAATCCAAAGTCACCAAACCAGGAATCAATGTCAACTTCAATGTGGGGGACCCTATCAATGTCAGCTTCAATGCAGGGACCCTAGAGGTCTTTGAAACAGGTGGGGATGACCCCCTTACGGTCATCCGAAGTTGACAGTGCCTGAAGTGGTGCCTCCGATGCCAGGGCAGGTCTCGGTGCTGCTCCCGTCGAATTTGCCGGGTCAGGACCTCCTGCAGGCGCCAACGGTTTGTTGAACCCTGAAGACACCCCCCAAATCTTCTGCCAGCAGCGCGGTCTCTCTTTTGAGGGGTCGTTGGTTCTTGGTTCTTGGTTCTTGGTTCTTGGGTTTCGAATTGTGTTCTTTGGTGATTGGAACTGCCCGCGTTTCGATGGCCATGATAGCAATGAGCAGGCGAGCCAACTGGCGGTTTCCTAGCAGCGGGTGCAGCATGGTGTTTCAAAACTGTCCGGAGCTGTTTGTCTGTATATCGAATCTATTGTTTCTTGTGTGTGTGGTTGGTTGTTTGTTTAGTTGTCGTTGTTCGTTGTTGGTCGTTTTCGGTCGTCGTTGGTGTCGGCGTCGTGGTGGTGGTGTTTGTGGTTGTGGTCGCGTTTGTGACAAGGATATGATTGTAAATGTCATTTCATTAGGAATACAAAATAAAGATTCAACATGATAATAATCGATTTATGATTGGGTTGTGGTCGAATAAACCTCTGTTAGGCCACATCCAGAATGAGAATAGATTATCATATCTTTAATAGAGAAGGAACATGATTCATTAAACATCTAAACTTATGCTAATTCAATTTCATTATCTTACTATATTATTTCATTCACTAGTTAACTATTGTAATCAGAAAGGCTTAGGACTCTATTTTATATTTATTTTTTGGATACATTTTTGGAATCTCCGGTACATAAATATCAGTCCTTATAAACATAGAATTATATTCATCAGAAGATAGGATTATATCTCCAGAAACCAGAGCTTCTATAGTATAGTTATGATTCTGTGGTTTGTTGTTTTTTTGTTATTTGTTTGTTTGTGTGTTTGTTGTATTAGCGCCTGCGGCCTCAGCTGTGTCGGTTAGGATGGTTGAATATTGCCTGGCCTTTGCAGGAACGTGTTTGTTTCAAAACCTGCAGACGACTTGGACGGGGACCTTAGCTTGATGCTGCAGCGCGAGTCAAACTTGAGTGGGACTGGTTGAAACATCGATTTCTTTTGACATCGCTTCCCTCCGTTTGTCCCGGCGTTCGGGCTTGGAGGGCGCATTGGGGTTTCTTCAGCCAGAGCCCGACGCTCAGACGGGAGGGAGGGTTGGCGAGTGGGCAACCCCCAACGCCGGCACCGGCACCGGCCACCAGTCACTGCCAGTGCCAGCTGCGGCAGTCGACGCCGGCGACGGTCGTAGCTGAGCGAACAAAAGATCCGTTTGGGGTTGGGCTTGGCTCAAGGCTGGTTTAGGGCCCATTCAAATTGACTCGTGGTCAACGATGCTTAAGGATGGTTTTAGGGTTTGTCTACAGTTGGTTTAGGGTTGGTGATTAGGGACACTTTATGATTGGGCTTTCGGGCTGGTTTAGGGCTGGATAAGGATTGGGTGTATTTTGGGATTGGTTTAGGGTCATTTTTGAGTGGTTAGGGTTGCTTAAGGTTATGGCTGTAGTTGTTTTTGCGTTGCGGGTGTTTTTGATTGGTTTGGGGGTTCAGCGTTTGGGTTCATTTAGGATTTGGCTAGGGTTGGTTTCGACTTGGTTTCGTCTTGGTTTTAGAGCCGTTTAGGCTTTATTTCTGGTCGGTTTCGGGTTGGTTTAGGATTAGGGTTGTTTAGGATTGGTTTAGGGTTGTGTAGGATTTGTCACGGTGTTTGTTTCTTCTTTAGGGCTGGTTATGATTATTTAGGCCTTGTTTCGGGCTTGTTTGGGGTTGGTCAAGGGTTGGTTTAGAACTTGTTTAGGCTTGTAGGATTGGTTTAGGCTTGATTTGGGTTGGTGTTGCGTTTGTTTTGGGTCGCTACGTTTTGTTTAGGGCTTGTTTGGGGTCCACATTTCGGCTCAAGTCTAGTTTTAGGGTCGCTTCAGGGTTTGTCTAAAGTCTGTCCTGGATTGTTTGACCGTTCTTTTTAGGGTGAGGGTTGGTGTAGGTCCATTTAGGCTTGTTCGGATAATGTTTATGGTTTGTTGAGACTTCGTTCGAAGTTGGATTCGGATTGGTCTAGGGTGGGTTCGGATTGGGTTGCAGGTGGTTTAGGGTTATTATGTTTATTCCGGATTGGTTTAGAGTGGCCTACGGGTCGAGGTAGGACGTATTTCCGGTTGGATTAGGGCTGATTTCGCATTTGCGGATTTAGCATTGGTATAGATTTGGCCTATATTCTACAAGTAGTATTGCGGATCCGGGTCTGGGAAAAACGAGACGAATAGGGTGCATTTATTCATGGGGCAAGAGGCCTAATTCTGAATCAAAACAAATGTCAGTTCAAACAAAACATCCGTGAAGGGTCGGTTCAAGGTCTGTTAGCTTCGGGGTTGGTTGATGACGGAAGCCTCCGTTGTTCTTGTAGGATTGGCCACCGCCAGCAAAGTGCCAATAACTTTCTCAGTCGTCAGTCGTTTCGCCATGCTTCGCGTGCAAAGTCGGTTCGCTTGCGAAAACGAGGCTGGGCCTGGATGAGGAGCTCTTGCAGAAGATCCGCGCCCCTCGGCCAGCACTTCGGCTGGAGTTGGAGGAGTGTGTCAGCTACAGCTATATGAGATATCATGTGTATGTATACAAATATACTTAGAAACAAAGCTGTGGTTGTCAAAGCCGTTTTGGGATCCCATTTTGGTTGGTAGGTGAATTCACCACCCATTTTAGAACCTTTAGTGGTCACTGGGGGTACGGGCTTTTGACATTTTGACCCATGGCCATATCAATAACTACATATATATATATATACATACATACACATATGGCTATGAATCTCGACCGCCACAGCCCGCCCGCTCGCCGACAGACCCTCTGACAAACAGCTGCGACAGAGCCTGTGACAAACTGCTGCGACCGAGCCTGTGACAAGCACCTGTGAGAGAGCTTGTGACAGATACTTGCGACAGACAGCTGTGACAGATGTGACGGCCAACAGCTGTGACAGAGCTTGTGACGGATGTGCGCCAGCATCAGCCTCTTTTCAAGCGCGCTTCCCAAATCAGACCGCCGATTTTTGCCCCCTTTTTGCCCGGCCTCACGTGTGGGTTCGGAGCTTTGACGATTGGGAAGGTCTTGGGTCAGGATTTGTGTGAGCCGAGTCTTGCAATCATCAAACTCCTGACCTAAAGGTGTCTTTGGGTCCCGCGTCGCTTCGCCAATGTGTTCGATTTGGTTGTGTTTTTGGAGGGTTTAAAGGACAACTAAAGGGACATGACCCAATTTGGGCGTTGCCGCATACCACCTTCGCCTGAGGCAAAAGTTGGAAGATCGCGGATGACCGCCGGGGGACGCAGCGAAGAGTCTGGTTTACATCCGGGGGTCCTGTGACTCCATTCCCCTCAGATGACCCTCCGAGAATCTCCCTTTACAAAAAACCAAGGGAAAATGGCGATTGTTACCTATGGTATTTGGTTTTCCACTGAGCCAGATGCCATGAACCTGTGGATCTGGGTTCCCTTCGGAATCCTGATCCAAATTCCGGACCTGGGGTCCGCTGTTTTGGGTCCTTTCCAGGCTTTCAGACGAAATCGTTGGAACAGACCTATGCAGTGGGTGTTCTGAACGTGGTTCCCACCCACCCATCCACCCAAATTAACAGCAACTAACACCACACCCATCCGGCAAACTTAACCCAACCTGCTCTATCTTTCAACGCTGGTTTGCCTTCCAAAATGGGGTGGGTGGGTGGGTGGGCTGGCTGGCTGGCCGGCCGGCCGGCCGGCTGGCTGGCTTGGTGAGTGGATGGACAGTTGGGTGGATTGGGTCCGTTCTTGGGTGGATGATTCTGTTCAATTGCAACGCAAAAGCAGCACTGTGTTTTGCTAGGACACCAGGGGTTGGGAATGCTGCCTTGACTATGTCCTTGGGAACATTTGGGGTTGTACTTTTTGAGAGCCCTTTTCAGCTTGGTTCAATGGGAAACCAAAATGGAAAAACCACATTCATTTTATGGGTAACCTATTTTGATGCATATCTATTTGTTTACTGATTACACGTAAGACCGGGCCCCCTTTCCCTCGTCTCGGAGTCGTCTCGGAGTCGTCGGCCCCGGGATGTCACCAGGGGCCGAGAGTATCCTCGCCGCAAATCGCCAATCGAGGAACCCGGTGGTTTGCTTCGGAATCCCTTTGAGAGCAATTTGGGGGGTCTGGATGAGATGAGTGAGCCCCAGGGAACCCCTTTTGAGGATCTTTGAAGCCACACTCCTTGCGGGTCCCCTTTTTTGGACAGCTGAAAAGCTCGTGGTGGCCAAAGCTTAAGGGCCAGCTTGCGAAATCCCCAAATCGACGTACCCCAATAGGTTGGGTATGTCCATTTTGGGGTACGTAAGTTGGCTGCCCACAAGGTGAAGGGCTACGTGCGCGCGAAGCGGATGCTCTTCGCGAAGAGCAGCGAGAAGTGCCTGGCCCGGGGCTCGGCGATCCGTGCGCGAGGCTCTCACGGGGGTGAGGCCCTTGGCATCCCTTGGCGAAATTTTCAGGTGGGGTGAAAGGGCCGCAACATTTGGATCAAGCCAAGATTTGGGAAATCCCTTGGTCCGGCATAGCGTTGACTGGTCTGGCATGTAAGGCGGATCCCTTTTCCACAACGGCGTGCGCAATGACCTTGCCTTCTACCCGGCCCAAAAGGGGTTTCCACACTTTTGTGGGGTCCCAAACCGCCCTTAGCATAGCTCCGGCCCGCAAGTCGCGACAGACACAAGTCTGAGGCCATGAACGCCATGGCCTCAGGACCCTCGGATGGCAGGGATCGCAACCGGGGCGAATGGTCAATGGGGCGTGTCTCAAAATCGCGGCTGGTTTCCTTTAGATGTCCTCTTTGAAATCGCAAAAGTAGGTTTCTGTAAAAGAGAGACGCCCATTTACTGCACCGTCATTTACTGTAAGGTGTTTCCCTCGGCCTCCAAAAGGCCTTTCCGAGGGATTTGACAGCCATCAAACACTTGGATGTGCGATTGATCATCTCCAGGGCGTTTTTGTTTTTGGGACAAGCGCAGACCGAGAAAAAGCTTTGGCGTGTTGTTCTCCAAAATGCTTGCGGGAAGGTTGGTGGTGGCCTCTTGGATCTAGTTTGGATGTACTTTGAACAGTCGTTTGACGACATGCGAGGATCAGCGTGCAACCATTCTGCGGCTATCCACAGGCTTTCTGGTGCAACCCTTCTGAAGAGGAAGCTTGCCTCAAAATCATGGTGAGTTCGCCGCACAGCTTCAAGTTCGTTGTTTGTCAATGAGTCTGCCAATAGGCCCACAGCAGGCTTTTTTCAAGTCATCAACTTTTGCGGGGGCGCCTGGGAAATCCGCAAGGCCCGGATTACTTGTGTTGAGAATATGGCTATGGGTCAAAACCCCGTACCCCCAGTGAACATCCGATTCAATCCAACCACTAAAATAGGTTCTAAAATGGGTGGTGAATTCGCCTACCAAAAATGGTATCCCATTGGTGTTGACAACCACGGCCATATGGCTGTGGGTACCCAAAATGGAACCCTGATAAATGGAACCATGGACTAAGACCTGTGTTTTTTTTGTGGATGAATTTTGACCCACCATGAGTTCATGTGTCTCTCGGTGAAAGCCCCCGGAGGGCAGGTCCACCATGACTTTGCGTGAGTCCCTCCGATGGCTATCTCGGGAAGGCCTCGTATCGTTGACAAATCCAATGGTTTGGGCAAATATTTTGAATTTCAACTATGGTTTCTTCTCGTTTGTGGTTTCCATAAGCATGTCCCAGTCCGGGCATTTCTTGGTTTCCCAGGAAGTCATCGTACAGTGCCTTGTAGGCTCAATTCCGTTTGATTCGAAGTCGTAGGTCTTTGCGCTGGATGAGTTCCGCGCGGAGGCACGGAACTGGCCTTTTCAGGTACCCCATTGGTTTGAATTTGGATTTGGTTTTGCCCTCCGATTGAACTATGACTTTTTGACGACCACTAATCCAAGCCACAGGGCTCAGGTGTCCTTTGCACCGCCTTTTTGAGAAAGCTTCTTTGGGTCCGTCTGAAGTCTGCGCACGCGTGTCCCTCGCGCCGTGTTGTTTTCGCCCTCAGTTTGTCAACATCCCAAGCGGTTAGCGGTTGGGGCGGCCAGGGCCGCCAATGGGCACACTGTCCATGAGATGCAATGCGCGAAGCCCCGTATTCTGAGGTGGCAAATCTCGGTGGGGGCGATATTCGTTGTTTTTTGTTCGAACAGTCAAGCTGTGGTTTGCACATGGGGGTCGTCGCAATCAAGGGTCTCGTGAGGCGGACCTTGGCAGTGTTGGTCCGCCTTTGACGTGGTCCAATAGTTTTGACCAAATGCAACAGGCGGTTGGCCTCCCTGTCATTTTCTCGACCTTTGGTTCGACCTTAGATAGTCCTTCCCTTTGCGAAGCTTACCAAGGACCAGCCCAGGTTTTGTTTAGCTGCTTTTGTCTGCGTTTCCTTTGGGTCAAGCTCGAACAGCTGGGTCCTCCAAGCGGTGCCCTGGTTGTGAGTTCCACTCTCTTGGCGGTTGTCGAGCCCATGTTTTTCCGATAGGATGGCCAAAGCTAGTTCTGTGAGTGCCTTTCTCATTTTTCAGTTGGCTCCCACTCGAAATGACCAAGCGCAAAAATGGTGCCCGCCGTTTGCCATGGAAGCATCACTATGGAATGCATGGAGCTTGAAGCTGTGATGATTGGATCGTTCCATCACTGTGCTGATGAGTTGTTCTGAGTTGTTGTGTGTTTTGTGGTGGTTTCGTACAGAGCCGAAGAAATCGATGGCGGTCGGGTTGAGAAGTCTTTGCATTGGGATTGTGTATCTGTTCATCGGAGCCGCAGCCGCAGAAGGGGTTAACTTACCAAGCTGTTTGCACTCCAATTCGTTCAAGGGGACGGGAGGATCTACTTGTCGTTCCCCCAAACCCCCCAAGTCTCTCCGCTGCCAGTGCCAGGGCTGTGGTGACTGGGGCCGGCTGCTGAGGGGCTGTGTGTGTGTGTGCTTGATTGGCTTGTGTCATACTGCGAGTCAAGGCCGACAAAAAGCTTTGTGACGCTTGTGCTTGGGCTGGGCTTACCCGAAATCGCCTGGTTGAAGTTTTTTGTTCAATCTGCCAAGTACTTTGACACTGCCGAGCCAGCAAGGGTTCGCCCTTGATTCCTTTCAATTTGCGCAGACCCCAGCCTTGGTCGTGAGCCCATGTGAGGTTCGGTCAAAGTATTCAGTCTATGATACACTTGGCGACTGGGCACCCAAATTCTCACGTCCGAAGAAAGGACTTGGCACTGGTTTTCCCATCTCCATTACTTTCAACGCACATTTGCATCACTGTGATGATAGCTATCATCGTAGCATCCTCTGCATTACCAATGGTCTCTGCAAGCTTCTGACAACCTTGGATCAGGGACGCTCGGGACCCGGCAGGCAACGACGCACTCGCGGCGCTGAAGGCGGCGACGAAGGTGTGGGTCCTCTATCCGTCCGAAGCTGTGTGGGTAGATGAGTGTGTCGTTGTTTGAGGGTACCTCGTGTTTGTGCTTCCTTTAAGCGGAAACTTCCCCAACAAAAAGACACCCAGGAAAAAGGGATAGTCCCAGCCAATGGGTACTTTGCGTAGCTTTTTCGAGGGCACCCTGGGTGGTTTGTGGACCATCGTGTGCCACGGGTGTTATGTGAGACTGCACTTAGTCCGGGAGTTCGTCTCCTTGGGGATCCAAAAAATCGGGTGTGGATTCCTTTTGCAAAAGCAAGCCAACAGTAGTCTCAGGAAAAGGCGCCCTGGCCCGTTTTTTACTTGGTGATCATATCTCCTTTGTGGAGGCTGCTCGGCTCGAAAGTCCACAGATTTGAACCCGGGCTTCTTTCGAGAGCAATCAAACCTAAGCGCAAGGGACAGTCTCTAGAAGGCACTTGCGCGCGCAAGTGATGCTTTACATGATTTTTCGGGCCTAGCCTGTTTTGCCTTTTAAATCAATCGTCCAGCGGCACCCTCCCCTTTGTTGGGTGGTTCCCAGGCAAATAGGTCAACCCGAATAAGCGTCCCATTTTGTTTGCACCAGGGTTGCTGGAACCAGATTCTGCGCAAACAGATTATAATGGGTGGATCGGGATCCCTAGCCAAGTGCACAGTTCAGCTTGGTTGCAGGGAATGTTAGGCTCGAATTCGCTCTCCTTTGCCCAGCTGAGAGTGGGTCAAACGGTGCATTTCAGAGGCATTCTAAGGTCAAATTGAGGAGGGACCCGTCAAACTTCCCACAAATTCCAGTGGGACACTAGAGAAGGGAGCTGAGCTGCAATGCCGGAAGTTCTGAGGAGCGCATTCCAGGCTCTTGCGAGTTTGACTGTTTCGCGCAGAGTGGATTGCTTTTTTTTGGAGGCTAATATAAGGGGCTAGATTTAATTCCTAATAGTTGACCAGTACAATCATTGCTTTGGTTTTAGGGAGACACCCCCCTATTAGTCAGCCATGGGCTTATTAATCCAAGGTTCCCATGTTTTGGACCCTCATATTGCCCCTGCTTGGCCACCGCCCGAAAAGAAGATCTGGAGGGGGGGGGAGGGAGAGTTCCGTGAGGCGCAGGTGCCCTTGCTGCTGTGTGACTTGCCGCAGGAGTGGACGCGCTAGCCCCCAGTTGGTTGGCTTAGGATTTTTTATTTATTTATTTTTTTTGGGGGGGGAGGGGTTACCTTTTGGTTTGGCCCAAAGAACAGGAGTCGAGGGCCGGAAAGACAGAGTCCAGTGAGGGCTGGTTGTCAATGGCGCACGTTTCATCAGTCTTGGCGCGCACCAAGGGCTGTCTTTGATAAAATGCTAGCCTGTTCAAAGGCTGTTGTCTGTGCTTCAATACAGAGGAGGGGTTAATTCTGGCCGTAACTGCAGACCCAGGAATTCTGATCTGACACTTGCGAAGGTTTGCATGCGTTGCTGCATTTGCAGGGTTTGAGTTCTTCAGGATAGAATGTTGCATGTTAGACTTGGCAGAATTTGCGAACTGCCCAACTCGCACATTTGTCGCCGTATGAGTTTGGCAACACAAATCTTCAATTGGGGTTGCCGAGGCTGGGCAAGGTGGTCCCGCTTTACAACCGCGAGTGGGCACCAGAACTCAGTTGCCTGATCGTGCGGCTCTCCGCTTCCTGAAGTGCGAATCAAAGGGTTTGCTTCCAAAACAGATCCCTGGCTTGATCTGGGGTAGTCCGGTTGGGAGTTGACTCATCTTGTGGGTTCTGCGGATCAATCGGAAGTTGTCATTTGCGGACTAACTGCAACACAAAGCGTCCTTGCTTTTGCTTTGAATCCATCGAGGCCTGCCCCACTGGATCTCTCGCAATTGCCACTGGTCAACTCTGGAGGTTGGCACCCCTCCAGTCAGTCATGTTGTCAGAAAGGTCTAGGGCTCTCAGGGTAGCAAAGCTCGAAATCCAAATGGCCCGACGGCCAAGCACTGGTTCTTTTGTGTATTGATTATTTCCGCTGGCTTTGCTTCATGCGTTCCCCCACATGACCTGAAGCCCAAAAAGCCTTGCTGAACTATCCGTTGGCCTGAGAAAAAAGAACAGGTACGTAGCCCAAAAGTGCCTCAACGGACCTTCAATTTCCTGGGTTTGGGCATGTGGATATGTTCTTTTGTGAGGGCGCCTTTTTGTGTTGAAAGAGAAATCCTCTATGTTGACACACCCATATCGCTTCTCGAACTCAGCTTAGGTATCCGCTTCTCTCAATTGAGCGGTCCGTTTCCGAAAGCGCGGCGCGCAACTGGGCTTTCCTCTAGTCAAGAGACACCTGCAAGCGGTCGTCTGACAAGTTCTCTGCCAAATCCAAGGGGTGCATGAGGAAGGTGGCCAAAGCTTGCCGCCGAAGGTGCTTTGGGCCATAGCCATCATGCCCTAATGGAGTATGGTCTTGACGGTGGCAGTGGAAAGAGTCCATTTCTTTGACTGAGTCAAATCGGGGTGTTCCTTTTTAGCTTTTCAATAAAAGCCAACCCGAAAAGGATACCGGGCCCCCCGTTTCCCCCAGCCAATGAATTTAATGAGGACTTGAAAGTGGATGGAGGGTCCGCGAGTTCAAACCCACGGGCCCCCCACCCCAAAAAAAGACATGTTCCGACCGGCCAAAAACATGATGCCTCATTTCTCGTGGACTTCTTTGTGGATATCAAGAAAACCAAAGGACACCTGGCGGAGTTGGTCCCCAATTTCGAGAAATCCGGTCTAAACAGCCTCTATTTGGTGTTCTGGATTGGTGGTTTTGTGCTTGAGGCTAGCTACTGCCATGACCCCTCTACAGAAACGAAGGGGAATTCGAATTGCCAAGTCCAGATCCGAACCAATCCAAAGCGTCCCGACGGGTTGCCTGAAGGTGGGCGCCCGCGCTCAGTGCCTGGAGTTCCTGGCCACCGAGGCCGCGGTGAGGTTCCTGGAGGCGCGCGGGGCGCGGGGCCGGCGACAGGAGTGGTTCAAGGGGCTGGGGTTCAAAATTAACCAGGAGGCGTTACGCAGGTTTTGGTCCATGTTTCCACTTGCCAGGGTTCCATTTTGGTCCGGGTTTTTTGAGCCACAGCCAAGTGGCTGGGGTTCAAATGGGCTTGTCTCTAAGCAGTGGTTTCCCTTGGGTTTCCCTTGGGTTTCCCTTTGGTGCTTTGGTTTCCCTTGGGTATTATTCTATTTGTCGTGCTATGGTTCCCTCAAACAGGTCTGCGCTTTTGTGGGTGATTGTTGGGTCCTGGCTTGACACGCTGGTCCTGTGCTGGGCGGTTCCAATATTTTTCCCAATTGGTGTGTAACCCCCTCAAAGTGAGCTCCCTTCACCACCCCAAAGAGGTTTCTCATCAGACACGACTCCCTTGGTGGGCTGGGTGGTTGGGCGGTTGGGTTGGGTGGTTGGGTTGTGTGGTCGGGTTGTGTGGTTGGGTGGTTGGGTGTTTGGATGGTTGGGGCGTTTGGTTGGTTTGGTTCTTTAGGGTAGTTGGGCGGTTGGGTTGAGTTGGGTTGGCTCTTTGGGTGGTTGGGTGGATCCCAGGCTGACCGCGATGGTTTTCCCTTCCTGGCTTCTTGTGCCTTCAAACTATTCAAGTCTTTATCCTCGCGCCAACAATCATGGAAGCTGTCAGGAGGGTTGTGGAAGACTGCTTTTCATTCGGGACCCCTTTTTCCCCCCTCCGGTCCACTTCCAGAGTGAATAACTTATGCATTTGCTGGGATCATTGATCTGACTGTCCCAGGCTTGTGAAAGTCAGATTCGGCAAGTTGTGGTTTCCCCTCAGCCTACCTGGACCTGTAGCTTTGGCAAAGAAATGCCTCAGATTTGTTTTTCCCGTGCAAACCTCTTTTGGTGGGTGACTTTGGTAGACATATGGCTACTTTTGTATGAGTTTTAAGAGTTGGACGCCTCATTCCCGCGGGTGCATCTTCCCCAGAATTAGCTCCCCTTTTTGCTTTTCGGTTTTTTAAGGACATGGCTGGGGTCCACTAATTCCAGCCTAGTTTCTGGGGCACCATGTCAACTTTGGATTTGGTCGGTACCAAAGAAACAATCGTCCGATTCGCATGGTATCACTGGGAATTCGGACGTAAGTTCGGCTTTCGCCAGGCCGAGGAGGCGATCCTGCGGGAGGCGGTGATGAAGGGCCACGGAGGCGGCGAGCGGCTCGGGACTCGCTCGCGTGGACTTGCTCGGGTTGCTGTAAAATAACCTCTGTAAACAAATAATATGCCCCTACTTCCCCGGAAACTCTTTGAAGCCTGAGAGGGCATCTCCGCGAATTTGTTTTGTCTTGCTGGTTCTCAGCAGAATGATATCTAAGAATCATCCGCTATGGTTTCCTTTGACGGAATTCCTAGGTGCTTTTTCTCAACTCCCTGGCTCATTCCCTAGCGAGCAGCAAGGGAAGGGGGACAATGGCAACGGAGTTTCGGAGTTCGACTCGACAGAGGTGCGGGACTTGGGAAAAACCAAACAAAAGTGGCGGGGCGGCCTCTGAGGGAGACAAGGACATGTGGGAGAACAGTGGCTGTGTAAGGGGACTCCAAAGTGAGCGCAGACGGCTGTTTTCTGGTGCTTTCGGAGTGGGAGCGCAACATTTTGAAGAAAAGGAGGGGTCAGGGCCTGTTTTTGGTGTCGACCCAAGGCCTTGCGCATCTCAATGCTTGGGGTGGTGGGGTTGGGGTAGTGGGGGCCTGGGGTGGTGTGATCCCTCTCAAGCGTTTGAAGTGCCGATTGCCATCATTTCCCTGTAAAGGAACCGAGGACAAGGCCTGACCCTCACAGTAATGCGAGGCTCAATGAGCCGCAGAGATGGAGTGCAGCGCCGCGTAATTGGTCATTTGGTTTCCTTCCGGATTATCACTTCATGCAGACCCGATGCCGAAGTTGCGGTTTTGATTTCGTCAATGATCCTCAAAGAAGAAGTGGACCAAATCCCTGCACCAGTTGCGATGAATGAAGCCCCATAGCTGTGGCTCGAAACTCAAAGTGCCCAAAATTTGGCACCTGGTAACTGGAAGCAAGACACCTGCGGTTTGCCCTAATGTTGACCCAGGATTAATAAACCCGTCCCACTATTAGGGGGGTGTTCCCTCCAAAAGTGGTCTGAATCCAACCACTAAAAGGGGACACCCCCCAATCAAAATCAACCAGGGGTTCTGCTTCCGGGGTTAACATTAGCTCCTTCATTTTGAGCCATCCCATGACTCGGAACCTGGGAAGGGGACTTACCTTCCTTGGACTATGGCCTGGGGCTGTGTCGCCGGGCAGCCCAGGAACTGGGGGCCGGCTTTAGCAGGGTTACCTCAGTCGCCCAAAGCGAATCGACCTTTGGACCTTTTCGTTTCCCCTTTTGGGTCCATTTTGGGTGGACCTTTTATGTCCATGCCCTTGCCTTTGGGCAAGTGAGTTATTAGAGATGGTCATCCAGCTGGCAGCAAGGATCCTTGATAATTACCCGGATTTTTCCTATTCAGGGAACCACGACCACCAACAGAAGGAAATTTGATCATGGCACATATGGGTACATAGGAGAACCCAAGATTGCGGTGCTCCCGTGGATTTCCCTCTTCCCAAAAGGATAGACTCTAAAGCTCACACCAACCAGTGCCACAAGAACCGAATTGCTTCTTAATTAGACCTTGTCCATTGAAAGGCCCCTTTGGTTGGCATCGTCTTGTATAGTTGCCGGATTTCTTCATGGGTTTCTTGATGCCAAGTTTCTTGGATAATTGGGGGGGTGGTCACCACGGGAATGTCTCACATACACAATCCACGCGCACATACCCATATGCAGAATTGTGTACATGTGTCTCCCAGTGTACATGTCTGGGTGTGTCTTTTTTGATGGCTCTCTCTGTGTTGGGTGGTAAAAAACAAAGAAACCTCCCCTAAAAGAAGATGCACCTATATATATATATATACATGGGCGTTTTCAAAATTGGGGTCCCAGCCAGGTAGGCGGTTTCCTTTCGGTGTCCCTTCAGAGCCCAGGTCCTATGTTGAGAACCCACCCCCACCCCCCCAAAAAGAATAATCTATATACCACATATATATATATACACATATTATAGGTGTATATATATAAATGTATGTATACACACTCATCTGTATACCACATACTCGACACATGCTCGCCGGACTCGAGGCCCGGGCACCGGCTTCGCGGAAGCCGCGTCGCGCCGTGGGCCGGCCGAATTTGTCCGTCGGCACCTGGGACCTCGCGGCGCCAAAACCGGTTAGACGGCCCCCCAACGTGGGTTGCCCGGGCCAATGGCAAAGTTAGAGGACCTGTGGTTGTTCTGGCTCCGTAATTTTTTTTGAGCCACACGCGGCTCGGAGGGAAGTCAGGACGAAGAATCTGAGAGAGCAAGGGGGGGGTGTTTCATGTGAGAGGGATCCCAGGAAGTAAAAGCACTGACGCATTTTGCACAGAGTCATTGTGCAAACAGACGCATTTTGCACGGACTCATTGTGCAATCTGACTCACTGCCTCAGAGCCTCCGCAGAGACTTGACGCCCGCATGGTCCTCTGAAGCGAGTGCTTCACGGGCAGCTCCACACGGACTACCCGGATGTTCAATGGCACCCTCTAAGTCCCATTTTCCGTGGTGGCTTCTCCACTCACTAGGACCCCAGAAAGCAGAAAGGGCCCAACATTTGAAAAGTACCGTCGCTGAAGTGGGACTATGGTCATCCTACAAGTGTAGCCATGAGGATTCCGATGGACCTGCTCCTGGAGCCATCCTGGTTTCAGAGGTGACAACTCCTTGGAGCAAAATCAGCAAAGGCCTGCAAAACCGATAGGGGCCACCCATTTTCCGCATGGCATTGAGTTTAGAGGATTTGTTCCGTTACTTGGGTCAACGTCTTCATCTTCTAGTTGAAATGAAGATGCTACGGTGTTCTTTGTAACATTGATCAAGGGAAGCGAAACCAAAAGCACATCCGCCGTTTTGGAGGCCCGCCGCGCTCGGGCCAGGTCTTTGGCTGGAAGAGCGCGATCCCGCCATGGCCTCCGCCGTGGTTCAGGCGAAAAACGGAAGACAGCTGCCTGCAAATAGGCGTATCGATTTCTAGGTCTTCCAGTAGGGCCCTTTTACCCTTTTTTGGCTAAAATAGACTACAGAAAAAGGGTACCCTTATTGTAACCTCTCTACTGGAGGACCTAGTTTTTTTTATGGACGTCTAAACTGGTTGGTTTCCTTTTGGTTTTCCCTTCGAAGCAACCCAAAAAGGTGCGCTTCAAAAGGTGCCCCACTCAGGCCTCCAGTTGGGTGACCAAGCAATTCCAGGTCGAGGGTAGGGCCATGTGTCCAAAGGCCGGGGATTTGGTTATGATTGGGTTGGCTTCCCAGTGTTGTCTTGCTTATTACTGAAAGTGGATCCAATTTGGCCGCGATTGATCACGTGACAGGTCCAAGCATTGAGTTCCAACGCGATAGCTTAGAGGAGGTCTTGTCCTGCGCGGTGACGGGTGCGAAGGTCCAGTTGGCTTTCTTTCGAAAGATGTAGGTTGCAGCTGCAAGTTGCATCCCCAAAGGAGGTTCAGGCCAGCTCCCAAACAGCTCCCAGACAGCTCCGCCAAGTTTTTTTGTCCAAGTGCTGCTTCTTGAAGCCCAAGCCAGCCCTGTCCCGTGAGATGGGGCTTGATGGCATCACCGTATTGGGTTAAAGCCCGGCTTCGGAAGCTGCAGTGGGCACTGCTCCGCTCCGAACAAGTGCGCGCAACATGTGGGTGTGTCAAGGGGATCTCGACATTTTGTGGTTTCCCTTTGGTTCCCTTGAAAAGCAAACCGGCCCCAACAAAGATCCTCCCCATGTAAATTTGGAAAAATCCTTAGGGGGGAGGATCCAAAAATTGGCTCCTTCTTAGAATCACCTGCAAAAAAAGGGAGCCCTCCTTCCAAAATCCGTTCGGAGGCCCTGGAGGGCCAGAGCCGCGTGCTGCGCGGCCAAGACGCCGGGCCGGCCCAGCGCGCGGTGCTCCAGGTGGGACGGAAGGGTTCATCTGAGTGGTGTTTTTTGGTGTGCAACCCGCTCAAGCAAAAAAAATACAGATGTTGGCACATCAACATGTGGAATGACTCTTTGGCCTTCTTTTCCTCTTGGGGGCTGCCCCACTTATCAACATGTCGGATTCGAACAGCCGAAGAGGATGCAGTGGTTTGCCAACTCAACACTGCGCAAGCGAGATTCACTCGGGCCCTCACGTTGGCTCAAAAAATCCGAAAGTTCCGCCAAGCAGGGATCCCTTCTGAATGACTACAGTGTTGTTTGATATGGATCGCAAGTTCATTTCAGGATCCTAGATGATCATTTCTATTTTCACTAGTGACGCAGAGCGCCAAGCAATGCAGACTTGACACCACGCTTCTCCTGGTGCGCCCCTCGACTGGTTGACTCACCCAAGAGCCGTGGCAACAAGCAAGGCACACCCGGCCAGCCTTGCTTGGGGTCCAGGACAGTTCCCTGTGAGCTGGAGCAGCTGCAAGTTTGACAACCCGCTTGATGAGATTCAAGGGGAGACCAGAGGTAAACCAGCTGTTGGGAAGAGTGGTGTCATTTTTGTGAAAGTGCCTTTTGTTTGAAAGGTCGAAAGGTCGATTAGGGACAGGGGATCCATAGATGCACCAAGCACGCTTTGACGAGGCCGGTTGCAACCAGAGCAGGTGACGAAAAGCTTGAATATCGCCGTGCCCCCATCAAAGCTGTGATGTCGGGTTGGAAATAACAGGAGCCTTCGAATACTCAACCCCGATTTACTGCCGTTGGCGTGTGCCCAGCCTGGGAGGATGGGGACAGCCTATCTGCCAGGTGTCAATCAAAATTCGGACCCCTCAAGATGGTGGGTTTCCTTTTGCTTTTCCATTTAAACCGGCGGGAGTGCCCTCTCGCAGGTGGGCTGTTGCCACGTGGAGGGCATTGTGGCGGCCTTGCATGCGGAAGGCTACGAGGCGCGGGTTCATTGGGTTGAAGCAGGGGGCGCTTTGGTGGACAGCACTGGGATGGGGATTCATGTCCACCAACCGCTTTGCGATGCGGTGCCCTGGTTAGTTTCATTGCCAGATTCATCCGCAAGATGCTTATGCCAGATGGTGGTGGTTCCCGTTGATTGCCGGGCCAAAATTTGCGGAGCGGGATTCGGGTTCACCCATTCTAGTTGACGGGGTTTGAAGCATCACCTTTGGGTTAGCAACTTAAAATTGGTTGCTCTCTCGAGTGTTTCAAAGGGAAAGCAAGGGGACCTTGGCCTCGCACTAACCTGGGAACATTGCTTTGAACCGAACATTGAGCTGTGTTGGTTGCGGGGGCCAATAGACCCCTTCAAATGGCTTCTCTGATGGGTCCTGGAAAGATCGCTTGGGTTTGATTCCTGAACAAGAGGTTGATCAATGAAGGGGCGGCACTCCTGTAAAGCAAAGGGTGACACTCCTTGAGGAAACGGGGGTTGCTCCCTGCCATTTCAGCCCCTTTTCCATTTGTTCATGGTACCTCTTGAGGATTGCGGTCCCCTTTGTGGTGAAAAGGCAGCTTCTGTGGTCCTGATTTGTTTGAGGCCTCCCTCTTATGCGCAAGGCTGATGTAATCTGCGACGTGGACAGGTGGTGGACGCTCCTGAGGGCGGCTGGCCGACCTTGCAGGCCCGGACCGCAAGGTGGACCCCCCCAAAAAGGGGTTGGTTCTGCGGTTTCCCTACCAAACACAGACACCAAAGGGACCCCCAAAAAATATATACAAGCCCATTTTGAGGGGAAACGAAGGAAGGCCCAAAAAGGAGGTTGGAACAGCCGCAAGTCGCTTGGTCTGAAGGGGCTCAGAACAGGATTGCATGCTCGGAAGGTGCGAAGGTGATATCCCTTACAAAAGACTTGAGTTATGCTGTTCCAAAAAAAAATCGGGACACCCTGCAAAAACTGCCTGAATTGAATCAGATATCTATACCTGTAGAGAGAGAGAGAGAGAGAGAGAGAGAGAGAGGGAGGGAGAGAGAGTGAGGGAGAGAGCGAGAGATGGGCGAATCTGTTGTTCGCAAATATTAACATAGGCATATATTATATAGGCACATAATTTGACGTAGATACAGTTTCTACATGAATACAGTAGTCTCTGGAGCAATTGACTGGCACAAAGACATGGAAGACAGAGGCAGACACCAAATTAACATACGCCTCACGTCTAGTTAAGATTGCAAACATACGGGTGCCAACCACCTTTTACAGAGCTGAGCAAGAAGAACATATACACTATACAAACAACAGTGAACATCAGAACTGGGAGTTTCACAAAATGGTGCACCCAATGCAGTACTCAGGCGCACCGGTTTGGAATCGACTCCCCTATATACATGAATCAGGCACGGCAGCCTCGGCAACACCAACGTATTGATCGATCTCTAGATGTGCTTGCGTCAAACTTGTCACTAGTCTATGGTCATTTGGGAGGGACATGGGGAACGAGGTCTCGTTTTCACCACAAACACCAGACACCACACTCATTTTCTTATGTCCTCGTGCGGAAGCAAGCAATTTGACAATGTCCTGTGAGTAGCAAAACAAACAATATTAGCACCAGTAAATGCTAGGGGCGTGCCCAAATTCGATACCTATCAACCTACAAAAACCAGAGGGCCCGCGCAACACCGATAGTCTATCCAAAGAAGATGCGGATAAGCAAGAGTATCATGCTCAATATAGAAGGGCATATGCGCACATAAAGACTTCGCAGCATACGCATCAAGTACACACACAGCAAGACAAAGGAAACGTTGCATTTTTACACTAGGCGTGTTCATATCATGTTGGGTGGCACAAGATGCACCTAAGGCCCCCTTCCCAGGCGCCCTTTTAGGACAAGGGAGCGGATGAAAGCAGAGACTATTTCGTCATAGTCCTTCCCTTAAATTACCACAGCGGCTTCCCTATTATTTTCCCAATATGGCTTCTCGATTGGCCGAGCGTGTTGCCATCTCGCATTAAGAGTTCTTTCGGAAGTGAATCAAGCTCGCAAACAAAGCGTTCAATGAGTGATGTCCCATTCTCCAACCACAATCCTATAACATGGGTCACACCGTTCTCCATACACAAAATTGTGTTGACAGGGTGCGTTCTGGCTGTGAGATGCGTAAAACATGTTCCTGGCAATTCCGAGGCCTCGCGGAAGCCGAGACCAACGGCAAGGCCAGATACGGACGGCTTTTGTTGCAGAGGGTCAAGGGAGGGCTTGGGATCCTTGCTGGTGCGATAGGTAGGGAATGACCCAGGCAGTTTGGACATGAACCGGAAGGGGATTTTCTTGAAGGATCCTATCAGGGCAAGCTAGATCTCCCCTTTGCTCGTTTTAGACATCACCTTTGGTGCTTTTGTTTATGGAGTTGCCTCTAGGTGGGCTGATGTTTCGTTTGAAGGGCTCAGAGTCGCGATCGCTGCGAGCTTCGGAGCTTTCCATGTGGAACAGGTCCTTTCGAAGGGCATTTTGTTGCCACAGATGGCCACCTGGCCAACTTGTCGAGAGCCAAGAGGCCAAAGCAAACTATGTTCGTAGCCAGAGCATGTCAGACAGTTACCGGTTCATGCCAGGTTTCTTCATCACTTCGGGGCCAAGCAGTTTTTCAAGCTTGAACACTCTCTTGGCCAGCACGGTCAGTTGAAATTCTGTCACTCGTTGAGAATCCCACGGGCTCAAGTTGGCCGTAACGTTTCAAGGCTGCAGGGTTGGCGCCTTGCTGTTAGCCATGGAACATGATTCCAGCTATGCGCCCGCAGGCAACGTGTGTTTGCCAAGCTGACTGAGCTGATGCAAGATATTACAGTGCAGCACGTGCCTTTGCACTTGACCGGCCTAGAATGCCCCATCATACATGGTTGTCACGGACCCAAGAGGCCCAATCACAGGGCCACTAGCGCCTAGGACCTACAAGGCATTCGACCATTTCAAGGGTTCCATGTTGGGTCCTTGAGAACATGACAAGGGGGAGTAAAGAGCAAGTACAGTCACCTCTGCTTTCATTTCCTCAGGTTGGACCAAAAACACATCAACATTTGTCCCGCGGCCTGTTTTCAGTTGGGCCGGGCCTTGGGATGTTGTCTTAGCCGAATTGGGATTGCCTATGTTCAAGCCGGGTTGCGTCAAAGTGAGCCTCGCGGGCTCTGACATGGCACCATTGCATACGTTGGTTTGGCAGGCGGGTTTGGTTCTCTCCAATGCAAGTCGACAGCGGTCTGGGAGGGCGTGCCAAGACTCGAAGACCATCTTCAAAAGACCTATGGTTGGCATGTGCACCTCACTTTGAAGAGGCTTTCTGGTGCTTGCGGGGGTGCCATGGTCACTTGGCTTTGTTTTTGGCCCCCAAACCCCAAGCCACATCCCCAAGAAGTGGTTGCACATGCCCAGTGTCCATCCGGCGATTTGGGAGCTGGGTTCACTGTCGAGGCCTGAGAGCGCGAGGCGGGCCAAGAAAGCCGCCGGCTTTGCGCCGGGATCTTGGTATGGGAAGACGGGAAGAGAGCGTACCAAAAACGGGTCCGGGCCCAAAACTTGTGGTGCGACGGGCTTCCCGGGCTTTTTCTTATGGGCCCGGCAAGTTGGCTCCTTACTTTCGAGCCACAGATCCGACTCCGTCGCATGGTCGCATGGGATGGCCTTATGCACAGAAAGCGTGATGTTGATACCAAAATCCGGTACATTAGTCGTCTTCTCAGCCAGGGGAACCCTGATCAGCTGAGGATTGTTAGGTTGTCGAAAAGAGGGAACCCCTTAAAAGTTTCGCGGCCCAGAGGGATCGGTGCCTGAGATGAAGTAAAGTTGACGGCTGAGGCAACCGGGCAGATGGCCTGAACTTGGGTTTGCCCCAAATCGGAGCCTGGATCCACTTGCCATCGTTTGCCTTGGGAAGTCATCAGGCTTTAGTGCAGTGGATGGTTCTGGCCAGCTCCCTGTGATGGGGATCTGACTGTTTGTGACCGGGCTATGGTTTTCCCGCTTGGGGTAGACTTCTGAATACCGACGTGCGATGAGGGTTCCCTGGAGTTTTTTCAGATCTGGTGAACTAGTGTATTCACCAGGATGCAAGGGGTTCGGCTAAAATCGACTGTAGTTTGATCATTTGAAACCGGACGTGCAGGATTGGTTTTCAGAATGGGAGGCTTGCGGAGAAGGCAAACATGCAGTTTTCCTTTTGGCCGCCTTGTTCAAGACCACAACCAGGATTTGTCGAATAATGCGTTGTCAGGAGGGCTCTATTCAAACCATAAGGGGGTCCTGCATAGGCTGCCTCGTTCACCAGCTGGCCGACCAAGTGTAAATTGTGCTCGCGTCACAACGGATCTTTACATGGGAGGCGGCTCGACTCATGTTTGGAATCACTAGGACCAAAAAAGCAATCCACCCAGAAACCCTGCGCATCACACATCACAAAGTTACCATGAGCATTTCCTGCTGTAACAGGTCACGTAGCCTGCTCCATTTCATGGGCAACCAGCCCCCATTCGTCTCTATGCCAACTGTATATGTGCATGCATGTGGAGTTTGTTTTTTTTGGCCAGCGCGGGGGTGCGCCTTGGGTCCGTCCTTGATTGAAGGGCGTTCTTTTCCGCAACAAATGTACATGAGTATGAGTATGTGTCAAAAAAGCCGGGGACCAACAAAAAGATGGTGATGTCCCGGTGTTGCTTTTCTTCAAATGGTGTCACAACAAGCAAGAGCAGGGACACGCCATATGTTAATCCACCATAGCGATGGTCCAAACCGGGTGTGACACGCAGTTCTCAAGGCTCTGAGCACCTGGACGCGCGAAAACCGCTGGCCGCATCGTGCCAAGGGGGGAGCCGGACTGCACCTAAGCGGTTCCCGCACATGGCATTCCCACAAAAATCAAAAAGCCAACAACAGCGAGCATGATGCTTGTTTGGGACATTGAGAAGCACCTTTTTTCTTTTTTGTGTTGTTTCATGCAGGCGAGGCGCCTTCCTATGTGCGGGTTTGCAGTAGTACCATCTGCAGGTAGGGCTGTAGCTGTGGTTGTTCATGGGCTTGGCAACCAGCTCTCTCCACAAAAACCAGCCCGCACGATTGAAACAGGCCGGTTCCCGTGAATCCTTCCACACTAAGATCAGGAGGTCCGGCCCTTGTCCCGGGCTACCAGATGGCTTTTCCATTTGCAAGAGCCATCGATTTGTCCACGTAGATTAAAGGAAAACCCCAGTGTCCGACTTTGACCCCCAGAAACTGTCACAATCCCAGCATTGCAGAGCATGTCGAACAAAGTCGGCCTCCTTGTTTTTTGTCATACGAAGGGATAGGCATTTGCAGATTGATGTCCTTGAAGGAAAGCATACTGCAGGCCATTGTTGACTTTCGAGGGCCGTTTTCCCGGGGTGTATGTTCGACGGATGAGAAGTTATATTTTTTAGCACTTGTAGAAGGTCAAACAATTATTTCATGGCATCGTTCCAGATCGGGCCCACCCTTTAAAATTCGTCAGAGATCATCTGAGGCAAAACAACTGCTGGGTTTGGCCTTTGCGCAGTTCTTGTGAGGACAAGGGCCCAGGAACCCGAAAACAAAACAGCGTCCTGCCGTTCTGAAGAGTTCCAGGGCGTGACACTGCAAGGACTGTGAAACGTACGAGGCAACCATTATAGGGCATGTGTTCCTGTGAAACGTTTCCGTGAAGAGGGTGCCCATGAAACACTTCCGTGTTGCGCCTTCGAAGTGTGTTGGCCACAATGTCCTGGGCGCGCGCGAGATTCCGGGTCCGCGCCATGTGGGTCCGCGCGCACGCGCGCCTAAACAGCTCCAGAAACACGGGGCACACAGGAGTTTGCCGCAATGTGCCCAGAGTGGTGCTGCTTGGGGTAGCCCGGTAGACCTCAGTAAAATTGGTCGGGACCGAATTGCAGTGTGCGGGAACTGGTCAAGCATATCAATATCATACTCGTATCCATCGTTCCTCTAGACACACAGTCTTCCATTTCTATCTTCTTTCATATGTCCGAAGAACAGTTTGCCAGTGCTGTTGGCATTTGTTTTGGGATCCCCAAGCAGTCGGAAAGCCGCGCGGTGAATTGGGGCTCCAGCCAAGACACATCAGGAGCTGGGAAAGGACCTTCCATGCAAGATGCGCCTTCTTTTGGCAAGCTTTTGACAGCCCGTCTGCAGCGTTCAGCACATAGTCTTTATATATATATATATATGTCATATGCACAATGTACTTGCACGGATAGACATACACAAATATATATATATATAGATATATATATATATATACACATATATATATATATATACACATACACATGTTTCATAGCTCAGCTTGACGCAAACATCGAACGGAACCCGCGCAGACCTCACCGATTGATCGGTCTCCAGCTTTGCCCGCCATGAGCGTCAACGCCAATGAGACACCGTGGCTCGGCGAGGAGAGTACTCTTCCATATGCTGCAGACTGGGCTGTTTAACGGTAATCCGCAAGATCCTTAGCTTGGGTTACACAAGAATTTGGACCCCTTTGCCTATAGGCATACGGAATCGGATCGGCCAACCGTCCATTTTGAACAGCCCAGGCAGAGCTATAGCAAGGAGCCATTGCAACACGTTTTGTGGCTGGTGGCAGACAGGGACAAAGAGTGACTCTTTGCGACCATCGGTGACTCTTGGTACCACTTGGGGGTGCCTTTCCCGTTTTCGTGGTTTTAAAGACTAGACCATTGTGACAAGGCCTGTAGGGTTGAGGAACGGCCAAGTTTCGCTGATCTGGCCGGCCTCACCGCCGAATATTTAATTGGAGTCGTGCAGCTCCCTTCGTGTGCATGAGTTCCCGTATCATCATTGTTGCAACCCATGTTCTCAAATGGGATGGCCCAGCACTTGCTCACCAGGAGCAGAGGAAACACCCCATCAACCAGTTGTCAAGCATCAAATCTACAATTATATATACAGTGTGTATATATATATATACATACATATTATAGGCATAAATACCGGTATGCGCACATATACCCACATGCGTGCACTGCGTGGTTGGTCCTTACCAAGCTCAGCTGCGTCGTTTCCTTGAGGCCAGTGGAGGACTCCACTCTGATGCGAGTCTCCCGCGGGCCGGCGGCTCAGCGGCTGAGCCTCCGGACATTTTCGCAAACGCGGGATTGACATCATCAGAGCAACAATCAGAGGACTTCAAGTCCTCTTTTTGACCCACAGCCATCTACTTTTTCTCATAGCTGTCCTTTTTGGTTGTTTTGGTCGAAACATCGGTGGCGATTTCTGGTTTACCTGGTGGTTTCATCTACCAGGGCCATCTATTTCCCCTAAAAGGACACCTGAGCAACAATCAAAACCCGGGTAGATGACGGTTAGTAAGGGACAATCCCAACGACAAATAGCTGCGGATATCCGGCTTCTTAGTTCTTTACATGCTTCTGGGTAGACCATGTGTTTACCGGGTTTTGATTATGACTCATTTGGTCGTTCCCAGCCACGCGGTTCCTTCGGCTTGCACTCTCTTTTTGAGAATTTCACTTTCTGGTTCCCAGAAGGGAATGAGTGGGGGGCCGACCCCAATAAAATATAAACCATCCCCTGTGGTTTCTTTTAAGGGAATCAATCCCCAGGTGCATTCCCAACACCATGGGTCATTCCCTACTGACCAGCAAGTCTACGGGTTTGACAATATGACCCATTCAGAGTTTCTCTTTTAGCAGGGCATCAGAGAGCACCCCTATGTTCGATCAGGGCTTATTTCCTACCAGTGAGGCCATACTGCAGGTCACGCGCCCGAGTTTCACGAGGATTTGAAGGGTGAGGGGTATCTTTTCCAGCTTCTGCCTGGGGCGGGCGAGCCTCGGCTAAACGGCAGGCCATGCTTTGTAGCCCTGCCCCGAAGCATGCGAGCGCTCACAAGCAAAGCCACTTGTCGGCAGACCAAAAGTAAGCCTTGAGTTGACCCATATGTCTTTTGAGCTGATGTCAGCCAGTCAGCTTCGGCATGGGGCAGTGGTTGATTTTCACACGGAGCTTCATTGAAAAGTTGCGCTTCCCAACATCGAAAACGGGAACGGGGGGGGGGGAGGTGCTTCTTTTTGGAGCACCCAACCTTCAGGTAACCCGGTAGAGGGTAAGTGGGAAAATCCCCTCAACCACCGGGCTCCAAACCACCAATCAGAGGAATGCTGCGACAATGGGGTCAAAATTAAGCCACCAGGAATTGGACCACACAGGATTTAGTCCTTGTTATTTAAAAAAATACCAGGGTGCCATGGGCTCGCCGATTTTTGACCCACAGCCAAAGTCGAGCAAAACAAATCCCTGTGAGGTTGGGTGTGGCCTTCTGGGCCCTGGCACTGGCGAATGGCCTTTACCTGGCCCGGCGCCTATCGGGTGCACGCCTTGCTCAAAGGAGGGGGAGGGGGAGGGGAGGAGGGGGGGAAGCCCTCAGAGTGAACAGCTTGATGTTGCATGTTGCCAAAGTCTATTTTGCAACAATATCAGGAAATGGATGTCGACAAATTTAAGTGGGGGCTGATTGTATTGACCCAAGGGGGTCAAAAGGTACCGTCAACCGCGTCAGGCAAGCAGGTGTCATGTTTCTGGGAGACTGGTGGTGGTGCTTTCTGAACATGGAAATCAGGAAGTTTGACCAATTCGCGACAATGCCAGTAGCTTTTGCCTGGCACGCAGTGCAACTCAGTCCCTGACTTCATGGACTTTCAAACTTTTTGGGTGAGACAATTTTAGACACAAAATAACAAGATTGAACTTCTTCCAGCCAATCCACTCAGCAAGTGAAGCAATGTATGCCATGTGAGACCTGTGAATTCCATGCGCAGGAAAATTTTTGGAATCCGAGCAGGAGTTTCCTGGAAAACGACCGAGATTCGCCGACGACCCCAGTCAGGTTCCACTTGTCTGTTTCCAGAGCATGGTTTTGCGGACAAAAAGGGTTTCCACGTGTCAAAATGAACCGGACTTCTCTCGAGGTTGGCTCCCTTTCAAACCGTGCCCCCCAATTGTAGCGTTGAATGTTCATGACTTGTTTTGGCCAATCGGGGAAAAGGTCTTTTCCGAGTGCGGACCGGTCTGAAGCTGTTGGCAGGAACTTTCAGCCAATACTACACCCCCAAGGTTTGGCAAGATGACACCCAATCCGTTTTAGCACCGACCAAGCCCCCAATGAAAGGTGTCATGGTTTGATCGCCACAACTCAAACACATGAACAGACAGTTCAGTTGCAAAGCTACATCTCCAATACGAATTAAAGGTTAACCTTCAATAGTTCCCACATTAGCCAGACAAATCTATGTTTTTGCTACTTGTACAGGGCAGTTAATAATCAAGGTTCGACAAGCTCATAAGCGGCCTTCTAGAGAGGCCAGCCCGCCTAAAAACAACACCCTGATGATAGAACTATGGCTTTTTGGAACACAACAATGCAACTTCCTTTTCACTGTTCTACTGCGGTCCCATTGGCCGGTCCCATTGGCCGGTCCTATTGGCCTCGAGAACAGTCTTCGCCTCGGGGATTCTACAGGGGTTCCAAAAGCTGAGTCTTCTGCACTAGGCCTGTACCAGCTATGACGACAGTGAAATCACCTACATACCTGACGTAGCGCATGGTCCTGCAAGCAACGGTCCGAGCTTCCGAGCTTCGTGCCACCCAAATGCGACCAACTGGGGTTTTGTTTGGGCTTCAGCGAAGGGCGTGTCCTGCAGGTTGTGCATGGGCGTGAAAGCCACAAGAATCCCTTGGGATGGTGTGAATGAGTCCAAACAAGGGTGTCCAGACAGAAGCCGATCAGCGCCACGTTTGGGTCAGGTCATTTCTATGAACAGCCAGTGGTTCTG